CACACGTCCACGCACACATGCATACTTATTCGCACGCACGGAGGCAGCATACGCACACACACGGGGCCTCAGGAACATGCTTTAACCCCTTCCTCAGCCCAGCCCTGGCCTCCCTGGGCAGGGAGGGCTGCTCCCACCTCTCGCTGGCACAGGCTGTGGGGTCAGGACAAGGCCCCATGTAGCAGCCTTGGGAATAGAGCTGCCAGGCGTCACCATGGCGGGAATCAGGGAGAACGCTTTTCTGTTTGTCTTTTTTCTAGAAAAACCTGGCAGCCCTCTATCCTCTTTTCAGTGCATTTGGGGCCTGGCTGGAAGGCCCTTCCCATGAGTTTGCAAAGGTGGAAGGTGGCAGTGCCAACCCCAGGGCAGGATTTCTCCCCTGAAGAAGCCTTATCATGAGGGCTTGAGGCTTTGACCTCCCCTAGGGCTGGCCCACCTCCTGCCCTGTCCCCACTACCCATCCACTTCCCACCACATGCTCCTGCTCTGCTCTCAGAGCCCAGCCAGGGTGCTGCCTCCAAGCTGGCTGCTCAGGCCACAGGCGCCCTTCTTGCCACTGCTGACCTTCTCTTGAGCACATAAGACAGGAGCCTGGGTAACGACGACCCATTTCTGGGCTGGGTTTGGGTCAACTTGGGGGCAGGGCTGCCCAGGGCCCAGGGCACCTTGGGGCACACAGTGGCACTCACTGGCTACACCGAGTGGAGGCCTGTTTCTCCAGGCGGGTGGGCTGGTGGGCCTCGCAGGGGTCCGCAGAGCAGCGTTTGGAAATGCTTAGGCTCGTCCTTGTCCCAGAGAGTCAGAGCTTGTGGGCCTGGGGAGCAGCTGCCGTGGGCCAGACCCTGGTCATGGCCCAGAGAGGTCACTCTTCCTTGGGCCCGTACCCTGCTGACCAGCCTTGGCCTGCGCCCTGTGCAGATTTTCAGCCGGACCCGGGGATCTGGGGGTTAACACAAGGCCCCATTGCTGCTGGGCATTACATTTCATTAAAAACACACACACACACGCACACACACACACGCACACAACTCTGCAGGCAAAAAAGAGAAAAAAATGTTTTCTTCAGGTGCTAAAAATATTATCAGGAAATACTTTTCAGCAATGTGCTGTTTTAGGCTCCCCTCTGGACTCAAGGGCGCCTTTGTCTCTGCCACAGAAAATCCACATTTATCAAAACCAAAATTGTTTTATCAAGCAGGCTCATGTTCCGTGGCCAGGAAACCCGAGCCTCCCCAACCGGCCTGTGACATTTTAATTTAGGGCCTGAGTGTGTGTGCAATTTAGATGGGGTGCCCCGGGAGCTGCCCTCAGGATGCCCCAAGGCTCGGGGCTCCACACAGGCGAAGGTGGGGAGTACCTTCCCCAACCTGCACCTGGTCGGCTGGGCCTGTTTGTCTGGTCCTCACAGGGTAGGGGTGGGAGATCCCAGGGGGCTCAGGCCTGGGCTGCCAGGGGCAGGAGCTGGCTGGCTGTAGCCCACCCTAACTTTTTCTCCTTCTCTCCCAGAAGTGGCAGGTGGAGTGCAGGTCTCCTGCCCCAGAAGCCCCGATCCCAAGTAAACCTCCACATGCTGTGGAATGAGGCCAGGAGGTCACAGAGGCCAAGGACCGCTCCACCTGCTCACCTGGTCACTGTCCTGTGTGGACGGTTGGAGTCTTAGTGCAGTTGGCCCCCTGAGGGAGTGTGGGGGCCGTGCAGCCTGCCCTACACCTCCTCTTCTCATGCACATGGAGCCGTGCACACGTTGACTCCCATGACGGGACTTCTGTGGTTGATCTTAAGGAGACGACGGGACTGAGGCTCAACACTTCCTTCCCAGGATGTTCACTGCTGCGTGGGCTCAGGCATCGGCTCTCCCTATCCTGGGGGTGATGAGACCCTGCCTCCCATTGGGAGCCTCGTCCATCTCCCGAGTGCCCAAGACAGGACAGGGCCCTGTGGGCTCCAGGATGGCGGGGACAGCCAGCAGTGGAGGGGCACTCAGGCCTGGGGTCCTCCGATGCCCCAGAGCTTCTGCAGCCACAAAACCTGCTCTGAGGTGTTTTTAGTGATTCTGGAAAACTCTAATGGTATCGTGTCAAGCAAAAGTTTTAAAAAATAGTGCTCTGAGTAGCATCCATGCTATAGCCTCAACCGTCCTAAGCACACGTGTGCTAGAAAAAGGGAGAGCTGGGTGTCACCTCAGGGGCTCTGCAGGTCACAAATCATGGTGGTGGTTACATTCTTCTTTCTATGTTTCCCTGCTAACATTTTTTTGCAATTAATTTGAAAAGTATGAGTGTTTTGGAAGCCCAGATAGACAATGCTCTTGGTTCCAGCCGGCCCACTTCCTGCCCCGGCTTCCGCCAACCAAAGCTTGTGCTTCCCTCAACCTGGGGTGCTTCAGAGGGCTGGCCTGCCATGGGGTGCTGCTGTCTGTGTTCAATGTGGCCCCTCCTCCAGTGCCCCCTCCCCAGGGGGCCTTCTTCTCCCATGTGTCCCCTCCCTGCGTTGGTCTGTATCCCCATCCTTGGATGCCTGCAAAGAGTGCTGCCCACTGACCCAGGCACCTGAGGTCCTGTCAGAGCACCAGAGCTTCCTGGCCAGAGGCTGGATAGGACCCACCAACACCCCCTGCATGCCCCACATTCCTCAGCAAGCCTCAAGGGTGGCAGGAATCTGAAGGGATTTTGTGTTCTGTCTCAGACGGGAGCTGGGCCCCTGCCTGCATCCCTGCCTTGTGTGGGAGAGGGTCTCCTGGCTTTCAGAAACCCTGGGCACATTTATCCCCTCTGCCCACCGGAGAGGGCAGGCAGAGGAAGAGCCAGACTGTGGAGGCCTCCGAGGCCGCAAGTGTTACGTGTGGCTCCAGCTCCATAAGGTGGTTCTGGGGGTCCATCCCCTGCAGGGACAGGCCTGAGGGCCACCTCCGAGTTTCCACCGACACCCAGACTCACTGTGGGTTCTAGAGGCAGACCCTGAGAGTTGCCCTCCCCTTGGGGGCACCACGGATCTGCACCACCTCCACCAGGCTGGCCTCAGAGGCTGCTCCCTCGAACACCCTGGCCCCACTGGACCATGGCCGAGGCTGCTCTACAGGCTGGGGATGGCAGCAGGGAGATGGACATGGCACTCCCAGAGCCGTGGCTGTGGCAAGTGAGAGTCCCTCCACCGTTAGCTGAGTCCTTCTGGCCTCAGCTTGGGTGATCCTTCACGGAGGACGCACCATGGCCCTCTGGGGCTGGGATCACCCCACTTTATAGACAGGGAAACCAAAACCTAAAGAATCTGTCCAGGGTTGCACAGCTAGTGGAGGCACAGCTGGGACCCCCGTCCAGGCGGGCCTGGGCTGGAGGCTGGCTGCAGGCCACGCATGGTGTTTTCCCCTCGACGCTTCGGAGGGCATGGGAAGGGGTCCAGCCCCCTCTTCCCTTGGCCTTGCCTTCACGAAGGGGCAGGGGGACCCCAGCCTCTGGGGCATGTCCTCTGGTTAACGTGGGTTCTGCCTGCCCCTCACTGGGCAGATGGGCCTGGGGCGAGGCCAGTGGAGAGGGAGCCTTGACCTGGGCTGTCAGGTCCCTGGGCCTGACCCTCTCCTGACGACCTGGTGCAGACTTGTCCCAAAGCAAGGCTTCCTCCTCATCTGCAAACCAGGTGCTCGAAGGGCTGCTGTGAGAACAGAGGGAGAGCTCTCCAAACCCCAGCACGGTTCTCAGTCATCATGAGACCCAAACACAGAGGCCCACGCACAACCACTGGACATGTTTAAGAACATGCCACTGTATTTCCAAATCCTCTTTTCCTAAATACATGCCTTTAGGTTGAACAAGTTAAAATAGCATCTCCTATGCTGATTTAACTATTTGTTAAATTTCAAAATTCTGAGGCCCCCACGTGCATTTCAAATGTTCACCATGAGCAGCCAGGGCAGGGAGGGTCCTGAAACTGCCGGAGAGCGAGCTGCCTAAATAGGGCTGTGGAGTGGGAGTCCCCCTCTCTGAGGAGACTGTGGATGGGGAGGGAAGGCAGGGAAGGGACATACCTACTAAGTGCCAGGCCCTAGCACCACACGCTGCCTCTCAGTGACCCTCTCCACCTGCCATCTGGCAGAGCGTTCTCCAGCAGTGGGGGCAGGCCTGCCTGCTGTCCTCCACCCGTGACTGGCCATGGCAGGGAGTGCCTATTAGGGCACCTGTGCCACCATTGACTCCTCCTTTGCCCAAAGTAACCTCTGCTCATGGGTCACCAAGCTCTTCCCCTCAGAGCCCAGGCTGAACCTCAGAATCCTTCTCAACACAGCCCCCAACAATCAGGCAGAGGTGACAGACAGGAAGCGGCCTATTTGACCACCTCTCTTTAGCTTTTGATTTTGCACAATTTACAGCATATGGTAACTCCATTACTAAGTCCACCAGAAAACCAGGTGTGCCAGGACAGACTATTTTAAGTCCCAGAGTGATCTTGAAATAGACACTGTTGCACATGGAGCTGCGGCTCACAGTAACTGTGATGGGGTGGGGGCCGGGAGCCTCTGGCCTTGCACCCCAGGCCAGAGTCCTTGCGGCCAGGGCGGGAGGCCCCTGTGGTACATGCAGGGATTCGCTGGGCTGGCTGGTGCCCCACAGATATCACAAATGACCACCTATAAAGCATGCGGCCCTTTGGAGAGGAGAACAAGTCACTCTGAGCAATGGTGATGGAGACAAGGAGCACAGATGAACACAGGTGGCCCATGCCACAGGCCCAAGATGGCCGCCTGGGTCTCCATAGCAACCCGGCCGGAGTCCTGCAGGACCGTTCCCAGCATTTCCAGGCCGGGAACATGGGAGGCTCTGTAACAGCTTTAAGTGTTACACTCCCCTGCTTCTGGCGGCCAGTGAGTCACGGGGACGTGAATCTGAGTCACTTCCAGCCACCTGCCACCGTGACGGCCGCAGTTCCTGGATGCGGAGGCTCGCAGCCGCTGGGCGTGGGGATGTGGTGGCTGGCCTTACAGGACATTATGTTTTTGGCTTCAGTTGGTGGAAATGTTTTCCACGTGTTTTCCTGTGTTTACAGAGCTGAGGGCACGGAATGAAGCCGGGGAAGCCAGCCTGACGGGGCCTGGCCCCGGGGGTCTGGCCAGACCAGCTCCTCCAAAGTGGAAATGGAGTGCCAGGCGGGGGCAGGCTGTGAGGATGCCCAAGCGCCTGCTCTCTGCCGGAGCGGAAGGGGCTGTCAGCGATGAACGACCCGCAGTGTGGTCCAGCACCAGCTGCAGGCCGAGTCCCCAGGGGCCAGAGGAGCTCTGCAGCCAATGGGCTCAGAGTGCGCCACTGCCTGGGGACCCTGAGGAGTGAGTGGTGGCCCGGCTGGTGGCTACCTGGACCCTGTGCTTTCTGCTGGCATCGTGCCCACCCCATTTGAGCTTTGTCTCTCTTGTGCAGAGCACACGGCATTGGTTTTCCCAACAGTGGTTCCCCCAGCAGCCCAGGGCCTCCAGCACCTTCCCCAGGGCCCCCTGCAGGCCAGTCCGGGCTGAAGGCGGCTAGGCTGCTGGGTGGTGTGCAGCAGGCCTCACGGTCCTGTCTGGAAGGCCTGGTCGATGTGGGCCTGTTGCCGCCGCTGCACTTCCTGGTCCAATTGCTCCTTCAGGCCGGCCACCTGGGGACAGAACGGTGGCTTAGGCTGCATGGCCAGGGCCCCAGGGCACAGAGGCATGGAGGGCTCTGTGACAGGAAGGGCTGGAGGCCACGGTCCACAGCTCCCGAGGAGAGGTGGCATGCCTGGGACAGAAACATCAAGCAGACATCAGACCAACTCCCTTGCTGCCAGAGGGATGCGCAGTTCTGCCTCTCACCACGGATGCCCACTCTGCCCACCTGTGGAGGCGTCAGGATTATGGCCACTGCGCACCCTGGGTGGATGGGCCTGCTTCTATTCAGGCCATGAAAGCGCTCAGAATGAGGCCAGGTGCAGTGGCTCACGCCTGTAATCCCAGCACTCTGGGTGACTGAGGCGGGCCTTGGGCCTCAGGATCACCTGAGGTCAGGAGTTCAAGACCAGCCTGGCCGGCCAGGCGCGGTGGCTCAAGCCTGTAATCCCAGCACTTTGGGAGGCCGAGACGGGTGGATCACGAGGTCAGGAGATCGAGACCATCCTGGCTAATACGGTGAAACCCCGTCTCTACTAAAAAATACAAAAAAATAGCCGGGCAATGTGGCGGACGCCTGTAGTCCCAGCTACTCGGGAGGCTGAGGCAGGAGAATGGCGTGAACCCGGGAGGCGGAGCTTGCAGTGAGCTGAGATGCAGCCACTGCACTCCAGCCTGGGCGACAGAGCGAGACTCCGTCTCAAAAAAAAAAAAGAAAAAAAGACCAGCCTGGCCAACATGGTGAAACCTCGTCTCTACTAAAAATACAAAAAAATTAGCCAGGCATGGTGGTGGGCGTTTGCAATCCCAGCTACTCTGGAGGCTGAGGCAGGAGAATCGCTTGAACCCAGCAGGTGGAGGTTGCAGTGAGCCGAGATCGTGCCACTGCACACCAGCCCAGGCAACAGAGTGAGACTCCATCTCAAAAAAAAAAAAAAAAAAAAAAAAAGGCACTCAGAATGATAAGGAAATAAATAAATGTCCTTTTGCTAATAAATTTAACAAAAGTGCCCTGGTGGTCATGGGCCCTAACTTGGGGATGACACTGGGCAGTCAGGTCACCTTCTGGGCCTCAGTTTCCTCATCTGTAAAATGAACAGACAGCTCTAAGGTCCTGACAGCTCTGAGCTCCAAGGCTCCGTGGTTCAGCCCAGCAGGTCTCTCACGTGCACCTATGCATGTGTGGGTGTGCAGTGCACAACGCCTCACTGTGCCCACCTCATCCCCACATGTGCCACGCGTACCATCGTTTTCCCTTCGTGACTCTGAAGGACAGGTGCAGGGGCTGCCTCTGCTACAACTGTGTGTGCCGGGTGCTCTCTAAGCACCTCACACATAGCGACAGCTCAGTCTCCCAGTGACCCCTCACAGGAGCTGTCCTCCCTACCCCACTTTAGAGACAGAGCAATGGAGGCTCCGAGAGGGTGGTGACCTGCCCCAGAATCCACGCTCCACCTCCCAGTGACCTCACTCGGATATGAGATAAACCTTGTGTCCTCAAGAGCAAAGAAGTGCAGGCAGTGCCCGGAGCGGGTCTGGAGCCCACTGGGTGGCAGTGGAGAGCCCTTGTTGCTAGAAGACTTCAAGAAGTCACCCCTACTGGGTGCTGCTGCGGGGATGCCAGTCCTCCCTCCCTCCCTCTGCCCTCACCCAGGGGGTTGGGGTCCCGACCTTACCTGCTCTTCCAGCATCTTCACCCGCTGCTGGTGGGTCCATTCTTGGGACTCCAGGGCCTGCGTGGCCTGCGACCGGGCCCTGTGCAGACACTCTGCCTCTGTGGCCAGGTCCCGCTGGTGCTGGGCCGCCAGGTCCCGGAGCTGCTGGGTGTGGGCCTGCTCCATCTCTTCCATCTGGGCCTGGAGTGAGAACTTGGGCGTCTCACTGCTGTCTCACCAAAGGCCACACAGAATCCCAGGGCAGGAGTGCCACAGGGTGTTCCACCTGCCCTCGTGGGCCCCACTGTCCTCTGCTGGTGTTGACCCTGGCTAGGACTGCCCAGCAGACCTGGGGTTGGGTGCACATGTTCAGCCCACAGGCCTTGGGTTTGGCTTTGGCTGGGCTGGAGACTAAGCCGCAGCCTCCAGGGTGGGCCTAAAATCTGTTTTAATGGCATCCCAGGTTCCCTTTGTCTGGGCTGGGTGTCTGGAGGGCATTGAAGTTTGATTCTTGCCCATCCTGCCCCCATCCCCTGCTGGTCTCTGAGGATGGGGGTATGTCCAATGTGGACCGGGAGAATGAAGCCTCTGAGGCCCCTTCTGTGGGTGTCAGGCCCCTAGGCCTCAGGGGATTCCCCCACCCCAGCACAAGCAGGCAGCAGCCTCTGGCCCTGTCCCGCAGGTCTCTCTGACCTCCCTCGTCTGACCCTTGTGCTGCTTTATAGAGCCCGGGCCTGGCTCCCATGGGGACTTCAATGTCTCAAGAAGGGCAGGAGCCTTGGGTCCTGGTTCCAGCTCTGCCTGGGGCCTTGATCTGAGTCTGTATCCATCACATGCACAAGCTGGTCCAGCCACCCTCCCCATGTGTGCACATGTGAGATGGAGGTACACCAGCCACCCCTCTGGAACTGACACCCTCCTGGATCCCACCCCAGGTCTGTTCCCAAGTCTGGGGTATGCAGAGCTCTGCTGGCCCAGTTGACCTGCAGCTGATGATTTTGCCTCCGGACTCCATCCACCTCCTTGTGCAGGCTGTTCAGAGACTGGTCCAGCTGCTCCTTCTCAGCTCCCAGCCTCACCACATCCTCCTCCCTCTTCAATGTCTCTTGCTCCGTCTGCAGAGAGCCCAGGAGGCAGAACCTGTGGCCTCGTGACAGGAAGTGAGATCAGGCCAGCCCTCCTCTGGGAGCACAGGGATGCCTCTGGGAAGGACTCTGAATTCCCCTAAGAGCTGGCAGGGTCAGGAAGGGCACTGCCCTGGGCCAGGAACCCTGGCCTCACCCAGGTCTATCTGACATCTGCAGCCAGAGTGACAGCTCAAGGAGGAACATGGGGCCAAGTCCCCATCCAGCTACAGAGCAGCAGATGTCCCCATCAACATCCTCAATGGGGGACTCTCTACATCTCTTAAGGTGACATCCCAGGAGCTACCCCGCAAACGTCTTCTCAGTGTTCCTCCAAGCCTCATGAGCCACGATCCCCTGCAGTCTCTGGCACTTGCCTTCTGCTACTGGCACTCAGGATCTGCTGAGCTCGTACAGGCACAGGCCCTGAGAGCCAGGCATGCTTGCTGTCTCAGTCCCCACAAGCCTGTGGCATTGGCAGCACCATCCCCACTGTCCGTCCTCCTTGTAGGCTGCAGGCTGCCCCAGTGAGCCCCCTCCTTAGTCACCCACTCCCCGCCCCATCGGTACAGGTCAGGAGGGATAAGCTGCAGGTTAAATATCAGGGAAGGCTACCCAGGAAACAGACATTTTCTGTGGGAAAGTTGGCAGGGACCTTTTGTTCCCTTGCGAACGGGCCCTCTGGAGGAAAGGATTGAATCTAAGAGTTCTCTCTTACAGAGAGCAGCACTAGGCAAGGAACACCGTCCACCAGCCCCAGACAGCCTGCTTCCAGCGCCCCCAGATGGCCTGGGGCATACCTCATGGGTGGCTGGTGTCGATGGGATCCCATGATGTCAGAGGCTTATTGGGCCAGGCAGGCGCTAAGGCAGGCTTGGAACCCATTGCCCTGCTCTCCAAACCAGGCTGCCTCTAGGCTCTGCTGTGCCCAGCCCCGAGAGTCCTGCCTGCTGGGGCTGTGTCCACAGGGGCAACACTCTTGGGCTGGAATGCCAGGTCAGTCCTCTGTCGGCCCCACTGCCCTCTCTTGGGTGCTGGGCCTGGCCCAGGATTGGGCAGCAGACCTGGGGCTCAGTGCACACACTCGGCACACCACAAACCTGCCCTCTCGGCTTCAGGGCTGGAGCAGGCCTGGTTTCGGGCCCTGAGACAGAGGGGATAATTCGCGTGGGTAAAGTTAGTTACGGGGTCAGTGGTTGGAACTGTACAAAGAATAAGGGTTCCTTTCTTCTTCAGGACTGAGAAAAACAGAGTCCCCCTGCACTGAAAAAGGAAGTCCTGTTTCTTTAAAAATCCAGTTACACTCCTGGAAGTGCATGTTATAAAGAGAAGAGAAAAGTGAAATCCAAAATAAATAAACGGCCACATCCGGGTTTCCCCTCCTGAGACACCAATAAAGGGTTTATGGGTTTGTGGGCCCCTCACAGCTGACCTCCTGGAACTCATTAGCTGTTCCTTCCCTCCCCCTCCTCGGGCTCCAGGGACTCACGGCGGGCACTGTGCCCACAGCTGGCTCTGCGTCCCCGGGCAGTGCTGTCGCAACCAGGGCTGATGCAAGCCCCTGCACCCCCACCCCCAGCAGCGTCCACGGGAGGCCCCAACACCCTGGCTCCATGGCCCAGGGCTGGGCTGCCTTCAGGAACAGCAGCAGGGGCTGGTGACTGGACCCCACTGGCCAGCCCTCCTCTGGAGGGCAGGTGGTCCTTTGTGGACAAGCTGGCTGGTGGCTTTCGTGACTGCCCTCGCCTGCTGGCCCCTGTCCCCTGCCAGGCTGGGCTGCAGGGCCTTGTGCAGGTGGCAGTGAGGCCTTGGGAAGTGCCACCCTGCTCTGGGGTTCACCCCTGAGGCCTCAGCACCTGCCTTCCCCACTTCATAGATGGGGGCACTGACCCTTCAGGGGCCAGCTCAGCAGATGCCATCCTCCCCTCCCCCATCCCAAGTGCCCATCTTCCTTGCGGCTGCCTCCTCTGGACCCCCATCCCACTCTGGGGCCTCCTGCCTACTCCCAGAGGGGGGCTATGAGGGCATCAGAACCCTGGGCCTACAGCTGGTGTAGCCCGCTCTGCAGGGCCAGCCTGGGCCATGTGGGCACCTTCCCTGTTCCTGCAGGGCCTCAGCAGCACTCAGCAGAGGGACAAGGGGCTGTCCCCCAGGCTCCACGATGGAAGGCCAAAGACACCCACCCTTCCCGCCCCTCCCCCTGTGCCATCTGGCCTGAGATGGCAAACAAACTTCCCAAGGAGAACAAGCTCGGCCCCCTGGGCGCTGGAGGTGAGAGCTTGTGCATGGGTCGTGGTGCCACCAACACCGGCTTGGCTTTCCAGGCCTGTCCCTCCAACGGGGTGACCCACAGGTTCTCCCATGGCTCTCCCTGACCTCGGCGGCCACTCTGTGGCTGTGTGGGCAAGGGTGGCAGGAGAGTAGCTGGCAGGGGGTGGGTGTGGGGCTCTGGGGTCAAGGGGTCATGAGGAGACCTGGGTAGTGGGCAACAGGGTCCAGGGATGCCAAGCTGGAGGCAGCCCCTCCAAAACCATCTGGTCCAGAGGGAGGTGGGCACAGCTTCCGCAGGGACTCTGGCCTCAGGCCACCAGCACTACCCTACCCTGCACCTTGGACCCACAGGGTGGGTGGGGGCTGTGCCCATGTGCCCATGTGATGCACCAGCCTCTCCAGTCAGCCCCGTTTGTGAGCCAAACAGTCCCTGTGCAGGACCTGATGGTGTCCTGGAGTCATTTAAACAACCCATGCTGTAGAAAGGGCAGTGCCCAGCCCTGCAGTCCTGGACAGCCACCATATCCCCATCAGGGAGGAGCCCAACTGTGCAGACAGCTCGAGGGGCCGGTGTCAAGGAGAGGAGGATGAACAGAAAGAGGGATCAGTGTGAGGCCACCCTGTGGGCTGGGACCATGTGCCCACTCTGCCCTCACTTGCCAGGTGGGGGCCCCTGCATGCACCCAGCCCCTGCTGTGGGGGGCAGCGAGACTCCCAGGGTGCATGCCTGGGCGTGGGTGGAGTGCCCACAGAGGACAAGAGAGCCGCCTCTCAGGTGATGGGGAGGGGTGCCGTACATAGCAGGCGCCTCCTTGGTGGGCCCAAAGAGCGATGGCTGGGGTGTGGGCTCTGAGAAGCTCTGCCTGCTTCCTGGAACGCCATTTCCTCTTTCTCGGGCTGTTTCCCTATCAGTCAACCTGGCAGCTGTGCACCCCTCATCTCCCTATGAATGGCTCTGCTACCTCAGGTTTCATGCGTGGGAGCCGGGTCCACGTGCGGCCTGGGGGCCGAGCTCAGTGGTCAGGATCACTGGATCACGCACCCACCAGCAGGGTGCCTCCACCCGGCCTCACCTCTGCAGCCCACCTCTGGACACGGTGGTCTACATTTGTCTGACCTTTGGGTTCCGAAACCCTGTCTTGCACCCGGGAGGCCAGGGGATAGGACTGGGTGAAGACCGTCACTTCACTCCTTGACCACTGAGCTCTTCCTGGTCTCTCACCCTGTCTGCCCAGGCCCTACCGGGAGCTCAGTGGCCACTGTCCCTGCGAGCTTTGAGAGGGGAGGTTGTGGGGCACCTGCACAGGCTGGCACCCCTGTTGCTCCAGCCACACCCCAGGGGAGGGGCGATCTCCGCCATAAGCAGGGACCTCTGGGGCTCTGGGGTGCGCGGTGTGTCAGGTCACTCGGTTTCCAGCAAAGCTGGGCTCAGACACTGGAGACAAAGCCAGGGTTGTGCTCCGACCCAAGGTGCCTGCGGAGCCAAGGCAGGGCGCGCACGACACCACTGGTAGGGCTGTGGCCACCTGCGGGCGTCCGGACCCTGAGCTTAGCGCCACCCCACCGGCAGGTGAGGACACAGAAGCCTGCGTGGGCCAGCGCCTCACCCAGCTGCCCCCGTGCGGATCCCCGCCACGAGCTCCTCCCGCCTAAGGACCTCCGCGGCCGCCTACCTGTGCGAGCTGAGCGCGCAGCGCAGCGAGCTCCCCCTGCAGACGCAACCGCTGGGTGCGCAGTGCCGCCGGCTGCTCCTGCAGGACGCGCCTCTCTGCCTGCACCTCGGCCGCCTCCTGCCCCCCGCTGAGCTGCTGCCGCCGCCAGAGCACCTGGGCCGGAGATGCTGGGCGTGGGCCAGGGATTGGGAGGGCCCGAGTTTCTGAGAGCAGGGTGGTTCCATCTAAGGCTGGCTCTGGCCTCAGCTTATTTTCTCCTGAACAGCGTGTCCACAGCTGACTCCTCTGTTGTAGGGGTGCTTACTGACGGCAAGAAATCCAGCCCCCTGACTCCCTGTGGGCCCCTCCAGCCTCAGTTTCCCCATCTGTCAGCAGGGGACTGGATGGGGCCTGGGTCTCTGCAGGCCTGCACACTTGCCTCCAGCATCTCTCTAGGCCTCCCATCATGCTGAGGGGCTGATTCTGCAAAGGACCACAGGGCCTCTTCCCTGTAGGCCTGTTCACCGCCTCCTGGTGACAGCATACCCTGCCCTCCTGGGCACCCTCACCTGTCGCAGGGGCTCCAGCGATCCCTCAGCCTCCTGGCACCTGTGCTCCAAGTTGGTGAGCTGCTCCTCCAGCAGCTTCCCCTTCTTGGCCAGGCCTTGATTGTGCCTCCTGCTCTCATCAAGGGCCTGATGCAGCGTGTCCAGTTGCTCCTGGGGGAAGGAGACACAGGGCCCACCTGGAGACAGTGGGGGTGGGAGGCCCTGCAGTGAAACCCTCACCTCAGGGCATCTGCCTAGACTGTCTGGCAGGACCGTATCACTCGGATGAAAACAGCAAGAACGTGGTTAAGAACAACCTGAAGTGTGTTGATCAGGTGGTTGTGTTTGCAATGTAAGTCAAAGGTGTGGACCCCCAGGAAGCCTGAGATGAAAGTCCTGGGGGTCTGGTCCAGCATGGGCAAAGGTTCAGGCTTGGCAGGTTCTCTGCTGCAGCCAGTGGTCTCAGAGGGCACATCAGTGGCATCCCTGCCCTGCTTCCAGCTTTGGTGACTCCTACTGCCCTTGGGATAAAGCCTGAGGTGACCCTCCCCAAGGCTCCTGGAGCGTGTTTGGCTCAGGCCCTGCTTGCCCCTTCTGGCATTACACTGTATGTTCTCCTGCTTCAGCTCCCACCTGGGGACATGGCTAGTCCCATACTGAGCTCAGGAGCTCCAGAGCCCATGAAGGTGGGATGGCCCATGATCCCTGCTATGTCCCTCACCCCTGCGCCCTCTTCTCAGCCCCTCTGCCATCAGCCTGTCCAAACCACCATTATCCACTTGGGACCAGTGACAACCCTTCAGTTTCCTCACTGTCCCCAGGTGCTACCCCATGACGGCTGAGGGTGCATTTCACTTGAATATCATTGGCCATGCCACTGCCTTGCTCTGGGCCTGTGGTGCTCCCAGCTGCCCCCAGGACACTGCCCGGGGAACTCACCACCCCTTCAACCACGTGCACCTGCTGCCCTCTGCACATAGCCTTCCCCGTGGCGCCCCCACCCTACACTGCCGCCTTCTCCTCCTGCTTGCAGGAATCCTGCCTCCCTGTCACCCCAGGAGGGAGGATGGCACCCATGAGGTCCCCTGAGCCCCAGAGCTGGCAGCTGTTGGGCCTTGAGAGGCCCCCAGACGTGTGAAGGAGCTTGCAAGGCATCTGTCACTGGAAGCTTGTTGACTGCAAGTTGGCCGGGTCAGGTCTTGATGAGCCCCCACCCTTGCACCTTCCCGAGGGTTTTGTGGGAGAAATGGCTAGCTCCTTCTGGGGTGGCCGGACTCTGAAAACACTTTATTTTGTTTGGTCCAACACTTTGTTACTTTAAAAAAGGAAAAGAAGGAAGACAATGCTTGCACCTCAGATTGTGATGCTTCACCCTTTGTGCAATTTTGAAAATTATAATTTTCTATATAATTTTCCAGTAGAAAAGCAGAAGTTTTCTTCAAATATGGCTTAAATATTTCATGGCAGTTTTAAGAGGTCCCAAACCTCTCGTAATGACTCAGCTTTGATGGAATTTGAATGAACCGTAATAATTGAATGGTTCTCCTTTAATGCACAGCCCTACTGGCCCCAGTGAGTTGCTGTCATCTCTTGTGTCCCTTTGCCTCTACATCCTGCTGCTGTGTGAAAGGCAGGCTGGCAAAACAAACCTTGAAAACGTGGATTCGGTCTGAGAGTTTAAGTAGCTGCAGGAAAGAACCCCAGCCCTTCTCCCCCAGAGCTGAGTACTCAGGGATGAGCCTGGGCTCCAGGGGCTCCTACCCTGGAGCCCGAGCAGGGGAGAGCCTGGGCTTGGAGCCAGCATGCGGGGCTCCAGTGTCAGTTTCCCCATCTGGGGCGCAGGTATGAGGCAGCCTCACAGGGGTCTCGTTGGGACCAAAGGAAGGCTGGGGCAGGGTGTGATGGTTCATGCCTATAATCCCAGCACTTTGGGAGGCTGAGATGGGCAGATTATCTGAGGTCAGGAGTTCGAGACCAGCCTGGACAACACGATGAAGCCCCCCCGTTCACACTAAAAATACAAAAAATTAGCCGGGCATAGTGGCGGGCGCCTGTAATCTCAGCTACTTGGGAGGCTGAGGCAGGAGAATCACTTGAACCTGGGAGGCAGAGGTTGCAGTGAACCAAGACCACGCCACTGCACTCCAGCCTGGGCAACAAGAGCGGAGCTCTGTCTCAAAAAAAAAAAAAAAAAAAAAAAAAAAAAAAGGCTGGGAGGATGCTGTGGACTCTGAGATGCCCCCAGGGAAGCTGTTACAAATGAAGGGCTTACATGGAAGGCTGGGAAATATCTGAACATGAGCAGAAGGGACAAAGGCCTCGTTAAGCATCCTGCCAGTTGCACAGAGGAGGACAGGGCAGGCCACAAACACTCGCCAAATCCATCCTTTGGGCTCTTGGAATTGGGGTCCTCAGTCTGATACCCATTTATCCACTGGGCGATGATGGGCCAATTCAGTTGCCCACTGGCAGGTATCCCCTGGGCTCCCTGCACTGGCCGGTTGCCCCATCCTGCCCTCAGGCCAGTCACGGGACAGAGTTAGCTCTGGACAGTCCTCAGATACAAGGGTGTCAGAGCCCTTCACTCCATACAGTGGGACTCTGGGGCCAGACAGAGGGCAGGGTCTGATGCTGGTTCATGGTGGCAGGGCCTGCTCTGGACTGTGGCCTGCCCTGCTGCCTCTGTATCTATTCTGCTAGCCTCTCCTGCTTTGACCATACTAGCATTATAGCCTGTTGTACTATTCACTTTCAAAAGTTTCTTGGAAAATCTCAAACATCTATTCTTTCCTGTAAACTTTGCAATCAGCTTGTCCAGTATTCTCTAAACACATCACAAACAAATAGACAAAACCAAACCAAAAAAGCAAATTACCGACAAACAACTGACAAAGCGGGAGCATAAACAAAGATCCACCCAGAAGCTGATCAAAAGAAAACCATCATCCCTGCCCAAGCCACAGCCTCTCCAGGAAGATGACATAAGCAACCAAAAGTGGCACAAACACGCACTCATGCTTTCAAATAACCCTCGAATTCAAGAAGAAATAAAAATGGAAACATCTAGAAAACTAGTAAAAAGGAAAAGAACTCACATCAAAATCTGATGGGACACATACCAAACCACAATTAGGGAAAATAGGATCACATTAAATGCTCTTACTATTGAAAGACAAAGCCCAAACATAAACAAATTACTTATTCCTTTCAAGAAATCAGAAAAATTACAACAAAAAGAGAGTGTTGGCTGGATGTGGTGGCTCATGCCTGTAATCCCAGCACTTTGGGAGGCTGAGGTAGGTGGATCACTTGAATGCAGGAGTTCTAGACCAGTCTAGGCAATATGGTTTAATACCATCTCTACAAACAAACAAACAAAAATACAAAAGTTAGCCAGGTGTAGTGGCATGTGCCTGTAGTTCCAGCTACTCAAGAGGCTGAGGTAGGAAGATCGCTTGAGCCCAGGAGGTAGAGGCTGCAGTGAGCCGAAATCATGCCACTGCACTCTAGCCTGGGTGACAGAGTGAAACCCTCAAAAAAATTTTTAAAAAGTAAACTAAAAATAAAAATAGAGTGTTCATAGAAACAAAAGCTGAAATCAATAAACTAGACAAAAATAAAAGAAGAGATAAATTGATTCTTTGAAAAGAGGAATAAAACATGAACTGCTGGCAAAATCAGACTAAGGGAAAGAAACAAATCTCCAACACGAAGGACAGAAACAGCTATAACTCCACATGTAAATAAGGCACAACTATGCATATAAGGCAGGTGTAACTGCTGACAAGACCATGTATATAACGAAGGTGATGCTGAGCAGATGTATGTGCAGGTCTTTGGCAATGTACTGAATGTGTAAGATGAGTTATGCTCCCATAGCACAAAATTGACCCCAGAAGAAATGGAAAACTAAAACAGACCCTTGACAGAAAAGAGATTGGAAAGGGAATTCAATTATATTCTTCACAATGACAGGAGCTGCGGAATATGCACAGGGAAGTTCAATGAACCTTTCAAGAAAAGTTAGTTTGAGTGTTCCAGGTGATGGAAAAAATGGAAAGCCCACCAATTCATTTTATAAAATAATAAAATTTTCTTAACACAAATCTGAAAAATATGTCACCATAAAGGAATTACAGATGCAAAAATTCTTGACAAAACACTGAGAGAAATCAAGTCCGACTGTGGCTCGGTGTCCACCTTGTGGGCCCCAGCCAGCCCTAAGCTGCTCTGCTAGCTTTGGGCATGTGTGAACCCCGGAAATTTTTAGAACCTGTGACTGATGCTGAGTTGAGTCCCCACAGGCGGGTGAACTCCAGGGCTGGCACTGGGGATGTGGGGAGCTGGTGGGGCTGGGTGTGGCACGTGGGCACAGCAGGGGAAGGAGGCCTGGGCAAGAGTCCAAGGACACCATGAACTTCCCTGAGCCATGGAGGCTGTGACCAGGCGTCAGTCCAAGGGTGGCATGGGGGGCCTTTCTGAGCCCACATGAGGCTGTGGGTGATGCTGGGTGAGTGCCAGGCCTCCCGCCTGCTTGGAGACCTGACCAGCTACTTGGGCCCTGCTGCTGCATTCTGCACGTGTCCTGACGCCACGGGCTGGTCCTGCACGGCTGTTCTATCAAATTCCCAGGGTAGCCTTGGAAACGGGGAGGGATTTGCTCTCAAACAAGAATCTTACTGTTTGCATAGCACAGCCTACCATTTAATTAGAAAAATATGTTTTTAATTAACTTTCTCTTGACAAACACATTGGCTTATGTGAAACAGGGGAAAAACCAGTCCATGAAAGTGAAAGAAGTTGTGTCAAATGCAGAGCTGGCTCTAGACTGTGCTGGGAGCTTGGCAGAGCCAGGAGAGGTGCCAGGCCTGCCCTACTGGACCCTAGCACCCCCTGGGCTCAGCAAGGGGCACGGGGCAGCAGGGAGCATGGCTGTGTGTTCCCAGCCCCCTGGCTGGCTAGAAAATTTCAACCCTGAACTCTCTGCCCAGGTTTGCTGTGTGTCACAAGTGGGGGCCTCTGGTGACTTAGGTGTGCCTGAATCCAGAAACCCACCACAATGACCAATAGATTACAAAAAGTTGGGAAAAGCTTTCCTCAGAGCTGGAGACCAGGGACTCGGAGGACTCCCGAGGGCAGATGAAACCAACTTGCCTAAAAATAGGTGAAACAGTGATTGCCAGAATTATGAGAAAACATTGACACAATAATGATAGATTTTAGCACATTTCACTAAAAAAGTTGAGCAAATTCTAGACCAAGCAGAGAAATGCATACAGACAAAGGTCTGATCAATGTCAGAGGTGTCCTCTGCACTTTGGCTCAGAGACCCAAAGTGGGACCCCTGTACCCCCATACCCTGGCTCAGAACGGGGAGGACTGGAGGGAGCTGCAGGGGTGTTGGGGAGGCAACTCCATCCCACCAGGACCTCAGGAAAGAGGGTTGCTGTGGCTGGGGGACCCAGGGAGCCCTCCATCCCTGTGAGGCAAGCAGCTGGGGAGGTGGAGGACCCCACCAAGACTGTGCACCCCACCCTGCCCACTTCGGGAACAGAACAGCTCTGGGAGGGGCCAGAACTCTACTACTGGCTCCCTACACTCCCCAGTGGCTCCCTGTGGCTGCGGGATCTTGGAACCCTTCTCTCTGCCTTCCCTTTGAGCCTGAAATATTAGGATGGGGACACATAAAGTCCCTGATGGGCTCCTCTCCACTCCCAACTTCAAACAAGGCTAGAACTCCTTTCTTTAAAGACATGCAAAGGAAAAAAAAATCATAAAACTAGTGTCTACTGGGGTTTGAGAAAATAAAGTCGATCTGAGGAATCAGATCTGAGAGTCTCTAATTAAACAGAGAAGTGAGCTACTGACACGCATCAGAAGATGGTAACTGGCGTTCTCAAGGTGAGGACAGGGCAGGGGTCTCGAGGTGGACAATCCAAAATGAAAACTCAGGCCGAAGGAGGCCGCTGTGGGGGCAGGAGCAGCAGATGAGATGCGGCAGATCCTGAGATTAGCTGAGTAGGAGGAGTAAGACCTGAAATTCTCCTGGGACCTTGGGGAAAACCGAGATGAGAATGAGAAATTCAAGACTGAAGCCAGGAGGACAGGTGCAGGGGGTCAGTATTGGGATGCTGAGAATTCCAGGACAAAAGAACAGAGAAGAGGGAGAAGGAGAAGAGATGGTTTTTTGTTTGTTTGTTTTGTTTTGTTTTTGCAGTAGAAGGAACCTCTGTAAACAGAAGGTAGATTTGATTCTGCAAGTAGGGAGGGCTTGCCAGGGTAGGTAAAAATAATGAAAGGGGCCGACATGCCCACATTTTCCTTTTTTTTTTTTTTTTTTTTTTTTTTTTTGAGACGGAGTCTCACTCTGTCGCCCAGGCTGGAGTGCAGTGGCCGGATCTCAGCTCACTGCAAGCTCCGCCTCCCGGGCTCACGCCATTCTCCTGCCTCAGCCTCCCGAGCAGCTGGGACTACAGGCGCCCGCCACCTCGCCCGGCTAGTTTTTTGTATTTTTTAGTAGAGACGGGGTTTCACCGTGTTAGCCAGGATGGTCTCGATCTCCTGACCTTGTGATCCGCCCGTCTCGGCCTCCCAAAGTGCTGGGATTACAGGCTTGAGCCACCGCGCCTGGCCGTGCCCACATTTTCGTGACATTTTTTAATTTCAAAGACATGGAGGCCTCTGGCTGCCACTCTGGAAAGTACTGATAAGAAAAACACAAAGAACCCAGGGAATCTGCACATTTCTTGAACCCATCTGAACTCAAGGTCAGAGGCAAACAAGGAGTCCAGAATCAAATGAAAACCAGGCCCCTCCAGGAGAGATGCCATGAGCGGCCCCAGCCATCATACCAGAGGCACGGAGTTCACCAAAGCTGGTAACACGTTGCTTGGACCCACGTGGCAGGCAGAGCTCTCAGAGGGCCCCGTAAGCTCTGGCCCCAACGTTGTCCTGTGATTACATTGGATTCAGGCCAGGGGGCTTTGTGGACGTGAATAGTTGACTCTGAGTTAAGCAAAGGGTGACCACCCAGGTGGGCCTCACCCACTCACGCACGCCCTCGGGTGTCGGCAGAAGGGAGCCGTGAGGTGTGAGGCACATGGAGACAGGCGGCGTGGGGTGCAGGTGCTGCTGCCACACTGTGAGGCAGCCGAGAAAGCCCTGGGCTAGGAGTGGGGAGCCCTTGGTTGACCGCCTAGAAATGAGGCTCAGCCTGACAACGCAAGGAGCTGGACTCACCACGCTGGGATGAGCCAGGGTGCCCCCAGAAGCACCTGGATGAGCCCAGAGGAGGACTCTTCCCTGGGGCCTTGGGTGGCCCAGCCCACCCCATGACTGTGAGATCCAGAGGGGAGATGCCAGTCACACCATGCCAGGCTTCTCACCCATGGGTCTGGGGGCTCAAAAGTGGGGTTAAGTCATCAGTAACTTGTTGCAAAAAGTAGTGCACCAGGTATGGGCTGCTGTGGATAGACAGCCCTGGGGTCCACAGAGACCAAGAGAAGTTCAGCCTACAGGCAGGAGAGCCCAGAGCCCCCCTGGGGGGCAGGTTTGGAAAAGGGGAGTGTCCAGAGCAGGCAGTTCTAAGGAACAAGTCTTAGCTCCTAGGGCACAGGTAGAAGCAGTGCAGTTGGGGAGGGAAGGGACAAGATCCACAGTCCCCCGCGGGGGCAGGGCGCTGTCCTGGGCCAGCCATAAGAGGCCCTGGATGCAAATGCTAAGGGAAAAGAGGATGAATAAATCATCCCTACCATGCAAGGCAGGACAGGCAGGAAAGACACATGGAAAGGAGAAAGTGTCCTATCAGCAAACCTAAGGAAAAACAGAGCATGGGTTACCACAAAACTTCTACATGGGACAAATTCCCCCAGAAGAGGCAGAGACACTAAGGTGGGACTGAAACCAAAGCCAGGCTGATGAAATGAAGGCTGAAAACACCAAAAAGGCAGAGGCCAAGAGGAAGACAAACAGCAGTCACAGGACATGCAGGCCACTCAGGAAAAGTTAACCGAGAAACTTCAAATTCGAAGAGTCAAGAAATCTAGAAGTCAAATACCCTTGGAAATAGGGTATTTTTATTTCTCCTTGGAAATAAAAGGAGACATTGACAAAAAGATTTGTAGTGGGAAAATTCAACACATCATCCTTAGCTTTGATAAATTCAGGAACTGGATCAAATGTGGCCTATTTGAATAATGCATTTGTAAAGGTTGACTTCAAGGTCTCTTTCAGAACCGGGTACGGTGGCTCACGCCTGTAATCCCAGCACTTTGGGAGGCCAAGGTGGGCAGACCATTTAAGGTCAGGAGCTCAAGACCAGCCTGGCCAACATGGTGCGAAACCTGTCTCTACTAAAATTACAAAAAATTAGGTGTGATGGCAGGTGCCTGTAATCCCAGCCACTTGGGAAGCTGAGGCAGGAGAATTGCTTGAACCTGGGAGGCGAAGGTTGCAGTGAGCCAAGATGGTGCCACTGCACTCCAGCCTAGGTGACAGAACGAGACTCCATCTCCAAAAATAAAATAAAATAGAAGGCTTGTTTCAAAATGTGTAACCTGTGAACAGAGAACGTTATTTCTCAATGCACGTGGGAGGCATACTTGTGACTATACATATAAAATGAAAGGCTGAGCTTGGCCCAGCTCAGCCCGCTCCAGGTCCCCCGACTTCTTAGGTCCCCCCTCTCCTGGGCATCTCACAAATCCTGACCCCATCCCTGGCCAGGCCGCCTGGGTCTTTCCACAGACGTCTCTAGTCTTACTGCCCCAGCAGCTGCCACCAGAGGGGTCTTTCCAAAACAGAAACTTCCCAGCTCCTGGCTAACGAGGAACCTGCCCTCTCTGCAGCCTGGTCTCTGCTCTCTGCCCCTCCCCCCTCCCCTGCAGGAGCCACCTCCTCAGAGGCTCAGGGCCTGTGGGGGACTCAGGGCCTGCCTGTTGTCTGAGTGCCAACAGCCCTCTGGGGGCCTCTGAGGGCCACCAGGCTCCCAGGCTGAGCCCCGCGTGGACCACGGGTGGCTTCTGCAGTTGACCTCGGGGTCGAGGCCTGGCTGGCTGCCCTTGGGGCCCTTCTGCCAACCTGCAAGGCTGTCCCTCCTGATAGCTCACCCAGGCCTCCCTCATTGGAGGGACACTTGGAGAGGAGTGGCTCCCCAATCTCTTGCCCTGTCCGCTCTGCACTGTGCTGGCTCCCTCTTTCCAGAATGGGTTGGGGGACGCCTGGGGGCAGTTGCCCTGGGGAACCTCAGCCAGACACGCTGTTCCCTGGCCGCTGGGGCCTGCAAGGGAGCGCTCTGGAGCGGAACAGCTGTCCCCTGGCCCAGTCCTGACAAGAGAATCTCAGGATACCCCAGGGGCTGCTTGGACCCATGGAGCTGGGCTGGGCCTGGGGCTCCTCACCAGCACTGAGAACCAAGGCCTGGGCCAGGCCTCCATCCACTCCGGCCTGGCCATTCCATTTCCAGGCCCAGGCTCCTCACCTGAAAACCTCAGACCCAGCGGCCACCTCCCCAGCACAAAGCCTGGCGTGTAGGGATATTGACTTCAGCCCTTCCTGAGAGACCCCTTCTGTGTCTGAGTGACACAGAATGAAAAGTGGTCTTGGAGCAGGACATGTGACCCTATAAAGAGCCCCAAGGTTGGGCCGGGGCCACCCCTATGCCTGCCAATGTGGCCTCAGCAAGAAGGAAGGGCCTGGACTTGGGGCACTGCGCTCCCAGGGCCAAGTCCTCAGCTTTCCTAATCTGTAAAACAAGGGCTAGAACCACTTTAAAGACAGCTCTGCTAAGGACAGCTCCAGTCCCGATGACCCCAAAGCCGCCTGCCACAACCCAGCTGCACCTCTGCCCCAGGGCCCCACTGGCCTGGCCCACTGGCTCCAGCCCTGAACACCCAAAGAAGCCCTTGCAGACCCCTCTCTCCCACCTCCCGACTCTGTGGAATTCCCTGCAGGGTGTGAGGGTGACCAAGAGGCCTTGGTTTGTGCCCCACCTGGGACCCACCCTGCCGCCTGCCCCACCTGCAGCCGCCGCTTCTCCTGGCCTGCTGCACGCACACTCGCCAGGTGCTCCATCTCCAGCCTGCGGAGCGCCTCCTTCTGCAGGGCACGCGCTGCCCGGGCGCTGCTCAGAGCACCCTCCACCCGGCGCCGGCCTGTGGGGCAAGCAGGGTGGCTCGAGGGGCTCCCACGCTTCTCCCGGGTCACAGGCAGGCCATGCGAAGCTCCGTGGACTTGAGTGACTGGCTCCCACGTGGGGTGCGGGTCCATCCTCACAGCTCAAGGGTCCTGGGGCAGTCCCAGGGTCCCGGCTTCCTGTGTCTGGACTCTGGACCTCCTCCCCACCCATCCTTCCCTCCTGCCTCTTTCCATTAATTGAGGGGGCAATAAGCAGAGAAACTCGTGTGTGTGAGGCAGTGGGGGGCAGAAGGAAGGGGCCTCTCTGAGGGGGTGACAAGGGGCAGGGCCTGTCCAGGGAGAGCCTCATGGCTGTCTGGGGGAGAGGGTGCCAGGCAGAGGGCATAGCCCAGGCAAAGGCCCCCGGTGGGAATTGCAGGAGGCCAGGGTGGGGCAGGGGTGCAGAGGATGCTGGGGGCCAGATCGGGAGGGCCCTGAGGGGCCTGTGGACGTCATCCTCTGTTCTGGGGAAGTCACTGGTGAGAACTCCGATGCCAAGCACTGGCCCAGCCTCGCCGGGCCTGGTGGTTTGGGTGTTGTCCCCAGGCTCCCTTCCCGCCCAGGGGCTGAAAGCTTAGAGCTGGCAGCAGTGGGGACATGGCGGTGCCACCCTCACAGCCACTCCCGGGGGGGTGGGGCAGGGCAAGGGTGGTCACCTTCCTCCGCCTCAGCCAGGGCTTTCTGTAGCTGCCCCACACGGCTCTGGGCCCGGGCACACCTGCACTCCGCCTCGCTCAGCCGGCTGCTCAGGGTGGCCATCTGGACACGGGAGTCGTCCTGGGCAGAAGGACTGAGGTCAGTGGGGACAGCCCAGCGGGCGGGTGGAGGGCCGAGGTATCTGCTAGAGGGTCGGGGCCAGCTGGGGCCGCTCACAGTCTAGCCTGTGGGTGTGTAGGGCAGGGCAGTGGGTGGGGCGGGTCGTGGGCTCAGGGAAGGTGTGGCGAAGGTGGTCACACAGGGAAGCTGAGCTGACCCGCAGGCCTGGGGAGGTGGAGGTGCCCACTGGGGCTGGGCCTGAAGGGTCCAGGTTTCAAGCACAGGTGTAGTGTGGGAAAGCTGGCAGGTGGTGGCCACAGCCTGTGGTCAGGGGGACCAGCAGGGGCTGCCCTGGCAGGACTTGGGGCTGAGTGCAGACAGGACCCTGCCCCCTGGGGCTGGCAGCGGTAGGAAAGTGGGCCCGAAGGGAACGAGTGTGCACGCAGGACCCCGGCCAGGGCTCAGGGCCTGCCTCTGTTTTTCCCACAGTCCTGCCCACTGGAGTCCCCTGCCCACTGTCAGCCAGCGAGTTGGGAGGGGGCCGCACACGGGTGGTTCTGTGGGAGCCCTGAAGCCAGGAGCAGCCCCTGGGGAGCTTGGCCCCACCGGAGGGGTCTTCGGGAGCCTTGAGGGGAGCTGGCTCTGTCCTGCACTTGCCCTGGCAGCTCTTCGGGGGTGGCATGAGCTGCAGAATGCCCTGCCCTGGGCCCTGGTGGGTGTCGCAGCAGGGCCTGGCTCCAGGGGCTTTTCAGGCTGGTCTGAGGAAGGGGGCAGCCCCCAGCCACCCGAGGCACTTGGGTTTGGGGACCGTGGTGGTACTGGTGTTTAGCACAACAAACAGGATAGCCTGGACACTGACCCTGAGACCCAGGGACGTGCGGATGGGTGGACAGCAGGTATTCTTCCCAGAGAACCCCAGGGGGTGCTGCCGTGGGTGGGAGGACCCCAGCCCCCATTACCCGCTCCCGCTGGGCTTCCCGGAGCTTCTGCACAAAGTCCCGCAAGACGTCCTGCACAGTGGCCACATCCACAAGCTCTGAGCTGCGGCCTCCAGGTGTGGGCGAGGGCCATCGGAGGGGCGAGTGGGGCCTAGCTGGGGGGCTAGCACCCTGGTGCCCAGGGAGAGCCTGGGAGCTGTCGGAGCCTGTGGGAGGTGACAGCGGAGGGAGTGTGGGCAGGAACACAGTGACAGCCACTCGCCCTTCCCCCTTCCTCTCTGCTGCCCCAGCCATGGGAGCTTGGGGAGCCAGTCGCAGGCTCCTACAATTGCCTGTCCAAGTCCCTCACTGTGTGAGTTGCGAGGCCTGAAAGAGAGGTGCCCAGGCCAGGGACTGAGCTGGGACAGGGGCCGCCTGTCTCCACTGAGGACTCTGACCTTTGGTGGGGGAACCAGGCTGCTCCGGGGAGACCCACAGGCTCTGTCTCCAGAGCCCCAGGCCACGGCGGAGTGTGGAGCACAGCCGGCCCAGCTGGGCCTCCGTGTCCCGCCTCGCACCCTCAGCCTGGGCTAGCTCCTGCTCCAGGCTGTGGATTCGGTGACAGGCCTGGTCCAGGCGAGCCTGGAGAGCATCAGTCACACCGCTGGCTTCCTGCAGCTTCCTGGTGACACGATGCAGCTCTGCTCGGAGGGTCTGCTCAGCCCCCCGGCTCTCATGGAGGTGCTCCTGGAGCCGCTGTCCATGGGCCTCCCTTGCGGCCTCCACCTCTGCCAACTTCCTCTGCAGCCCCAGGACCTGTAGGAGGGATGTTGGGGTGCGCCCATGGGAGACAGTGAGGAAGTGGGGTGGGCCTTCTCCCTCTGCTCCCCGACACCCAGCTCCTTCCCTTCTGAGCACAGGCAGCCCTCCCACCTCCTTCTGGGCACCCTCGCGCTTGGCCTCCGCCTTGGCTGCCTGTCTCCGCAGCTCCAGCACCTCCTGCGAGCATTGCACCTGCAGCTCATGGGCCTCTCCACTCCTCCTCTGGTTCTCAGCCTTTAGCGTCCTCACCTGGGAGCGTGGGGCCGCGTGGACAGGGTCACCGGTCTCTGTGCTGGAAGCCAGGCAGCCTCCCTGCCTCCTGCCTCTGCTCATACGTCCCTTGAGGGCAGCTGGCCACAGTCAGGGAGTCTTGGGCTGAGGTGTTCCCAAAGGGCCTTGCCCTGGGAGTTGTCACCCTCAGCCACTCCGCAGACACCTACCTGGGACCTTCTTGGAGGACCTGGGACAAGGAGGAGGCTCAGGTGGGGCAGGGTGGGCACTGATTAGGGAGTGTGGGCAGTGTCTGGGGTGCACCGGAGCCAACTGCCCCGAGGCTGCCATGATGGGAGGGAGCCAGGCCTTGGGGAAGCCAGCACCCTGCCCTGCAGAGGCCAGGCCTCCCCTCTAGCCTGCCTGAGTTCCCGAGCGCCTCCAGAAGGTGTTACATGTAGGATACTTCCGTGTGCTGCTGTGCATGGCTCCCTTCTCCTTGCTAGAGCATTCCTGGTTTTGCCTTCTCCAGTCTTGTCATCTGCGCCCCATGGGCACAGACCCAACCAGGGACACCGTGAGCCTGAGCAGGGCATGGCCCGAAGTCTGGGGATAGAGCCGTTCAAAGGCGGCAGCAAGGCCAGGTCTGGGGGCTCCTGCACTGCAGCCAGAGGGTGCCCTGGGAGGAGGTGGGACCCACCAGGCGGGAGGGTGCCTGGTTGGATGTTGACCCTTCCCTGCCACCCTACCTGTCTGTGGAGCTCCTGGAGCTCCTGACGGGCGTCCCCCCGCTCCTGCTCCAGCTCCCACAGGCGGGCCCGCAGTGCACTGGCCTCCTGCTGCAATGCCGCCCGGGCCTCCTCCAGGATGAGCAGCTTCTGCTCCTTCTCCTCCTTGGACCGCTTAAAACTGACGAGGGTGCCACAGGCTGGGGTCCCCGCAACTCCTGGGGGAGCCAGCACAGCTGCCCAGCAGGTCTCTGTCTCCCCTAGTGAGACACTGTCCCCAGTCTTCTCTCCACAGTGTCTTCAAACTCAGCCTCTGCAGGGCTCCCTGTCACCTTTCGGACTTATGTCCACCCAGGTCCCAGTGCCCGGTCGCATGGCCCCTGTCCACTATCCACCTCTTCAGCGCCTCCTCACCTCATCCCTCCCTGTCTCCCCCTCTCCCTCACACTCAGTATCCAGCCCAGGCTGTCACCTCTGCCACCTGCTGTGAGGGCTGTGCTGTCCCACCCAGCTGCCCCACAGGGGCCTTTCTGGAGCCCCAGCCAGGCCCTTGGCCTCCCTCTGCTCCCCAGCTCTGCACCACCTCCTGGAGGCCACCTGTGACCTATCTTGCCTGTTGGATGGGAACTCCCTGTGGGCAGGGACAGGTGTGTCTGTGTCCCCAGACATCCCTCGCACTGGCCAGCATTGCAGACCTCTTGGACTGGGCAGCGGGAGGCCTGCTTGGCACGTCTACCCCACCATCAGTGGAGCCCGAATCAGCAGGACGCCCCTGCTTAACCCCCTTGCCCCGTCCTCCCTATGGCCTGGGTGGGCAGCAGGCTGCAGGGCACCCCCAGCTGCTCCTGGGTGGCCGCCATACCTGGCCTTCTCCTGCTCGGCCCTGCAGATGGTGGCTCGCAGATCGCTGTTGAAAAGCAACAGTACGTCCTTCTCGCGGGCCTCGTCGCTCAGTGCCTGGCGGGCCTCCCGGGCCTCCCTGCGCAGCCCCTCCTGGCTCTCCTCGATGCTCTGCAGCTCCTGGCGCAGTGCAGCCAGTCCCTCCTGGGCCATGGTCAGCTGTGCCCGAAGCCTTTCAGCCTGGGGAGGAGCATGCAGCTCTAGAGGCCAGCTGGGGACCGCTGCTCCAGGGATAGCCACAGGGGCCTGTGGCCTCTGACACTGGTGTGGCAGGCACAGGGGCCCTGCCCAACTTGGTCCCCATGCGCTTTGCTCACCCCATGGAGCCACCAATCCCTGCTGCTGCAGAGACTGAAGGGCAGCTTCCGCCAGCTGGGGCAGGGCCAGCCCAAGAGCCCAGAGGACCCCACCTTGACCCCCCGGACCCGGCCCCGCCCCATGGCCTCCCTGGACCCCCGGTAAGCAAAGCCTACCTGGGATGTGGCTCAGCACACGTGTCCTCACTGTCACCACCCAGGGCCCTTCCCACCTCCCACCCCCCACATCTAGTCCTCTCCTTAGGTGACAGTGTGGTGCCCAGGCCTCTGCCTGTCCTAGTGTGGGCAGCACCTCGGCAGGCAGGCTGGGCACTGACCCCGCCACAGTGACCCCGCCACAGTGGGGCTCACCCACTCCCTCAGCCCTCCTTCCCCCGTTGACATGGGAGGCAGTGGGAGGAGGGTCCCTGGCGATGGGGGGGCAGTGGGAGGAGGGTGTTGGTTCCCCGCTCTGGATACCAGGCATCTCACGGTGCCCAGGAGAACCCAGGGGTGGGGTCTGGAGGACAGTGGCAGCCTGGCAGGAAGGCCCTCCCCGGCACCTACGCTCTGGGGTGGGGACTTGCTGGGGTTTGGCCCTGGCGCCCAGTCTCCTGCCTCCCAGGTCTGAGCTCTGGGCCTGGCCAGAAACCCTGGAGAGGGCTCCATTCCGGCTCTCGTGTGTCCCGGAGGAGGAGACGGAGGGAGCCGGTGGGGCGTGTCCAGAGGTGGAAGCCACAAAGACTCCGGACGGCAGGGCGCTGGCTGGCCAGAAGCAAACCCCTCTTTCTGGCTGTTTTCACGGGATATTGTCCAGGCCCCCGGCCGGCCTGGCTCCCGAGGCTGCCGCTGTTATTGTTGTTCTGTTTTTGGGAAGGGCCGGAGCCTCCCCTCTGCTCCCCTCCACCCCCACACGTGGGAGCCGTGACCGTGCGGAGCATTTTCCGCCGAGCTCAGCAGAAACCCGCCCAGAAGGTCAAGGACCAGCACAAGGGCCCATGCATCATAAAAGAAACTGTTTTCATTTCCCAGGGCAGGGGAGATGAAAACAAGCAAAACAAATGCAGGAGGAGGGCCGCCCCCACCCCACCCCCACCCCACCCGCTCCCTCTGCCTCATGAGAACAGCCATCCCTTTTACAGGAATTTTACAGCCAAATCACTTAATGTGATTATAATAATAATTTCGTTGCTAGAAATTGTATAAACAGCCTCTTTTAAAAATCTCCTGCAGGGAGGCAGCTCCAGAGCTCTGCAGGGGAGGAGGGCTGTGGAGGGACAGCAGGGGAGGGTGTGTGTGAGTGTGCATGTGTGTGAGTGTGCGTGTGCATGAGTGTGCGTGTGTGTGAGTGCATGTGTGATGAGGGTGTGTGTGAGAGTCTGTGTGTGTGTGTGTGATGTGTGTGTATGTGTGTGTGCATGTGTGTGTGATGAGTGTGTGTATGTGTGTGTGAGTGTGCATGTGTGTGATGAGTGTGTGTGTATGTGTGTGAGTGAGTGTGCATGTGTGTGATGAGTGTGTGTATGTGTGCGTGCATGTGTGTGAGAGTCTGTGTGTGTGATGTGTGTGTATGTGTGTGCATGTGTGTGTGAGTGTGTGTGTGTGATGTGTGTATGTGTGTGTATGTGTGTGATGAGTGTGTGTGTATGTGTGCATGTGTGTGTGAGTGTGTGATGTGTGTGTGTGTGCATGTGTGGGTGATGAGTGTGTGTGTGCGCATGTGTGTGATGAGTGTGTGTATGTGTGTGTGAGTGTGCGTGTGTGATGAGTGTGTGTATGTGTGTGCACGTGTGTGAGTCTGTGTGATGAGTGTGTGTGAGTGTATGTGTGTGCATGTGTGTGTGAGTGTATGTGTGTGCATGTGTGTGTGAGTGTGGGTGATGAGTGTGTGAGAGAGTGTGTGTGTGAGAGCTGGTGCAGGTGTCCACTCTGTCCATGGTGTGCATATGTGTGTGCGTGCATGTGTGTGCTCATCTGTATGCCTGTGTGTGCACTATGTGTGTGTGTGCATGTGTGTGTGAGTGTGTGTGAGTGCGTGAGTGTGTGTGTGTGATGAGTGTGTGTGTGTTTGAGCCGGTGCAGGTGTCCACTCTGTCCGTGGTGTGCATACGTGTGTGTGCATGCATGTGTGTGCAAGTCTGTATGCCTGTGCATGCACTAGGTGTGTGCATATGAGTGCACACATGCGTGTGTGTACTTGGTGCACGTTTCTGTGCACGCCTGTGTGCACTGTGTGGTGTCCATATGTGATTCCAGCGTGAATTGTGTGAGTGTGAGTGCGTGGGGCATGTGTGCATTCAGCATGCGTGCACCACTCTGAGTGTTGAGTGTACACAGGTGCGTGTGGTCTCGCTGTGTGGATGATGTGTATGCATGTGTGCACACATGTGTGGACCTCAGGCAGGGTCTGAGAGCCTGGAAGTTCCTCCAGTTTAAAGGTTGTGAAAAATGTTATGGTTTCCATGGTGACCCTGGGACAGCCTGGCGCCTGGACGGGCTCTGCTTGCTTTTCTCTGTGATGGTTCCTCTTGTCCCCCTCAGCCATCCTCACCTTTTGGCCCCCACTCCCTTTCTGGGCACCCTGCTCTGTTCTGGGAGCCCCCACTTCCTTCCGGGGGCTGCTCCTCTGAGAGCCTGACCTTCCCATGAGGCCTGCACTCCCTTCCTTGAGGCCGGCAGAACCAATGCACCCCCACTCCCTCCACACCTCTCCCTCCCCCTCCCCCTCCCCCTGCTGCCCTTAGTTTTGAAATCTCATTTTGCTTCCCCGTGTGGTCGCTGACCCGGCCTGACTTTGAAATCTGTTGAAAGGAGACCTTTCTCCTTGGGGCCAATGTAAACAGCCGGTCATGTTAAATCATGTTCTCTTCCTCTCTCAGCCTGCCTCTCGGGGGTGCTTGGGGAGGGCTGAGCCCCTCTCCTCACTCTCCCCTGCCTGGCGGCCCAGCCTCTGGGGTGTGGTGTGCGCCAGCACCAGGTCAGCTGCACAGCCCCCAGCCTTGGCAAGCAGCCCAGGGAGTGTGCGAGGCCGCCCCGTCCCCATGGGCCCCGCTGGGGCTCCAGCTGACCCTCCCCTCTTCCAGCCCAGATCCGTGTGCCCTCCTGCCCTTGCCACACACAGGCGTCCCTATATCCTGCCAACCTCCCTCAGAAACGCCTCTCCAATCTGCCTGCCTGCTGAGCCCAGGCCAGCCTAGCCCTGGCCACTCTTGCCCCCTGCCCAAGACTGTCCCCCCACCCCATGTCACCATCACGTGGCTCCTGGGGGCCTCTGTGTCAACCTCGGGCCCTTGGCCAGGCCCAGGCCCACCCGGAAATCTCCACTAACCCACTTCTTTTCTTGCCTCTGCTGCCCTAAATCCAGCCTCCCCCAGCCTAGTGTCCAGACTCATGAAGTCCATGCCTCCCGCTATGTGGACAGAGCCCAGCTTGTCAAGGGCCTCCCCATTTCTCAGTGGATGGCGTGATTGGTCTCCTGGCCAAGGGTCCGAATTCCCCTTTGCCCCAGGTCATGCCTGTCTCTCGGAAAGGCTTCGGGAGGTGACAGCTGCCCCAGTGCCTCCAGAATCAGGCCGTTCCTGACCCCACTTTCTTAACTGTGTGTGGAACAAGGGGGCTGTCTGGACTCCCGGAGCCTTCGGCTGCTTGGCTCTGGCCACCCTTTCACATGCTGGCCTTCCCAGCAGCAGGTGTGCCCCACCAGTGCCCTGGGAGCTGGCAGGTGTGCTGTGCACCTTCCCACGACAAGCAGGAGCCGCATCGGGACCCACAGCAGCTTGCAGAAAGCTCCCCTCCCGCTCAGCTGGCACCCTGACTCAGCCAAGTTCACCTGACTCAGCCAAACCCACTTGCACCCCAAAGTCAAACTCACCCCTTCAGGAGGCTTAGAAATGATGCCTTCTTTTCCCTGAAAACCGGTGTCAGCTTCCTGTAGCCAATGGCCTGGGCCAGGCACCGTTTCATCTGCTCTGAGAGCCCAGGCTTGGCTTATTGGCTGGTATGAGGGCCCCTAGCCCCACAGCCCCTGTTGCTGTTTGCCTCTTCCTAGTCCCAGAGATGACTCTGCCCTCCTCCGTGGTACAGCCTCTCTTTCCTCCTGGCACCCCCACTCTCTACTCTCTCGGTACCTGCCCTGCTTTCTTCTCTCCTCTGGCATCCCCAGGAGCCCCCCAGCCCCACCCCTCACCTCTCTGTCCACATCGCCCCGCTCGGCCGCTAGGTCCCGGAGGCTGTCGCGTAGGGCCGTGGTCTCCCTCTGATGGGCCGTGATGGCATCCTCAAACTGGGCCTGGAGGGCCTTCAGCTCCTCGGTTGTGGAGCTGATGGTGGCCTGCGGGGAGAAGGGAGCCCACAGTGGCACCAGGGAGCCGGGCCCAGCAGTGGAGGGTGAGGTAAGGCCTGGACCCTGGAGCAGGACGTGTTGCAGTGGCTGGGGAGGGGGAGCTGGGCCCTGCTGATCACGCAGGCCCCGGGTAACCGGTGTTTCCTAAACTATCAGACAGGCTGCTGGGATGAGGAGACATCCACGGTCCCTGCCAGCTGTGATGTGTAAGTGCCCATGGACACAGCAGGAGGCAGCCGCTCAGCTCAGCCTGCGCCCTGGGGCAGGGCCCATCCCTGCAGGGACCGCCACACACTGGGCAGCTCTACCCTCCATTTGGGACTGAGCTCAGCTGGAGTTGGCTCCCTGTCGCCTACACCACCCAAGGTGTCCTCTCGGGCCTTGGGGCAGTGTGGCCAGTAGGGATCCTTGGGCCAGGAGGCCCCAGGCTCGCCCCATGGCCCCTTGTTCATGGACAAATGCCGCCTTCTTCACCCCAAGCCCCAGGCCCCTTGGGACACCACCCTGCTTCCTCGCAAGGCCCTCCCCTCTGCACCCCTACCCAGGTTAGAGCAGCAGGGCAGACGGGGCTCAGGGGGGTCTCAGCTTTCTGGGCCTCAGTGTCCCCAACATGAAGAGTCAGAGCCCTGCCCTGCTCAGGTTCCACACCCCTGGGCTCAGGGCACCGGACCAAGCCTCCAGGCAGAAGCAGGGAGTGGCTGGTGGGGGATGGCTCCCTCCAGAGCTGGCTCAGTGTTCCCGGGGGCACAGGTGCCCACATGGCTGCCCCTGTGCCAGATCTCGGGAGCCCCTCCTGTCCACCTGGATTCTGCTAGGGTGGGGGCTCCTGCAGCCTGTGACCCCTCTCCTGGGAAAGGAACCGAGCTGCTGCCTCCTGTCCTCATTCTCCACAACCCCCTGTGGTCTGTCCGGACTGACAAGGGCCATTTTGGGTGACCAGGCCATGGCTCTGTGCCTCAGCATGCCCCAGCGCTGCCCTGGCTGCAGGATACCCCTGTGAGGGCCTCAGGCACAGGGCAGCGGCCGGGAGCCTGGCGGCAGTGGTGACTCAGCCTGGGGGCACACGCTCTCCTGTCATCTGGAGCCTGGTGCTCCTTGGCCAGCATTCCTCTCCTCCCGCTGCTCTCAACAGTTTTAATTTCCATTTTCTGAGCCGAGGTGGCAAAGGAACCCTTAACGAGCTCCCCAGGGAGGCCGGCTGGCTGGCAGGCCTGGTCCCGAGTCCCAGGGAGACTCAGGGCCAGCTCAAGAGAAGGCTCCAGAAGCCAGCACTGGCTCCAGAGGAGGCCTCTCTGTGAGCCACAGGCGTCAGCTCCCAGGACCCCAGGAGGGCCTTCCTGGGTCCCTGCCCACGGGTGGAGCTGAGGGAGCTGCTGGGCCAGTGGTCAGGAGGAGGGAGGGGCACGGTCACAGGCCTGATGCTAAGCTTGGTTCTCCTGGGCTCCGTGGAACACTCTAGGCCTCAGGGGCAGGAACAGAGCAGGGCAGGGCTCCACGGAGTGAGGGGCAAGGCTCCCCTGGGCTGCCAGGCGCTCCTCTGGGCAGCCCTGCTTGGAGGGACTAGGAATCTGGGTCGTGGCATCAGGCAGGAGGGGGCAAAGTGACACCCCAGTAGCTGCCTCCTCATTGCAGTGCCCTCTCCTGCTGCACAGCACCCTGGGGATGGGGCACAAGCCCTCCATCCTGGCTCCGAGTCACCAAGCGTCCCCCAAGGCCCTGCTGCCTGGACACCCCAGCCCCCAACCAGGTGGCCTGCATATGCCTCTGTGCAGCCAGTGAGAAGCGCCCCCGTTCAGAATGGGCACAGAAGGGGCCTGCCTCCTGCGCCTGGCACCGTGGCCTGTGTTCTGTTCACTGCACACTGAGCCATACATTCAACGCCAGTCAGGTAGGTGTCCAACCCTGCCTCCTTGCCAGGGACAGGGAGGAAAAGGTTTGCCCGAATTTAAAATGAGCCCAGAAGTGTGGGAATGAACGGCCTCGTCACTGAACATGCTGGGAGCTGGGACAGAGGCAGGAGGCAGGTGTGGGCCCAGCTGACGGGGTGTGTGCGGCCAGAGAGGGCAGAGAGCGGGTCAGAGCTGGGGTCGGCAGTCAGCCTCGCCTTCGATCCTACCTGTTCCTGGAAAGGAGAGGAGCTGCGTCTGGTGCCTTGAGCCCATTCCCTCCCTGCCCAGGGCACCCTGGCACTTGTGTCTGTTCAGGGCCAGCCCCTGCCACCCAGGACAGCAGCCCCGACCTCAACACAAACAGTCCCTCCTCAGGTCCCCTGGACCTTGGGAGGCCCTGCTGTGGCTCCTCCATCTATGTCCTATTGCTGGGCTCTGGCCACCCCCCATGTGAGCCAGGCCCCAATCCATGTTCTATCACTGGGCTTTGGCTACTCCCTAGGAGCCCTGCCCAGTCTCTTCGTCTCCCATGTGGGACCTGGTGCCATGTCACAGATGGGCTGAAGCCTTGGCGCTCTGCAAGCAACAACAGTGGGTGCCCAGCCTTGCCCACGAGCTGGAGGCATAGGCCTCAGAGTCCTCCTCCCCAGATCCCTCCTCCCCAAAGCCCTGCTCCCCAGATCCCTCCTCCCCAGAGCCCTCCTGCCCAGTGCCCTATTTGCTGCTGCCCACCCAGCCCTCTGGACTTGGGCTCCAGGGGAGGACTCAGGGGTCCCAGGTGACCCCCACTGGCTGCCTGCAGCAGCCTTCGTGCATGGGAGAGCCTCTGTTCACTGACTGAGGGTGGGCAGCTGTTTGCTGGGGAATGGGCTAGCTCCTCTGTGGACGCCTCTGTCCTGGCTCCAGTCAGGACTCAGTGTGGGTGTCTTTCCAGCTGAGAGTTTCCTCGGGTGCAGGCCCAGCTGCCTCAGGTTCAGTTTCTCCATTGGAAGGATCTCTGTGGTGAGTTCCACGAGGCTGGTGCACATGTCCCCAGCTGTGCTTTTCTATGAGCAGCTCCAGTGCACACATGGGCTCAGCCACTTGCTGCTGCTGGCTCATGGGTGGCCCCCAGCTGGGCCAGGCCTCCCCTCTCTGGCCCCTGCCAGCCCTGAAGCTAAGGGAGAACCGCTTTGGTTCACTCAGACCTTTCCTGCCCATTGGGTGCCCCTCCCACCAGGAGCCCTGGAGGCACCAGGGGGAAACTGAGGCTCAGGAAGGGAGGGGATGGAGAGGGACATGCCACTGGGACTAGGCAGGAGGGATGGCTCCCTGGGGTCAGCTAGCACCTGCTTGGCTGTGCACGTGGCCGGGCTGTGTGGGGCTCACCTGTGCTTGCTCCTGCTGGCTCTGTGCCTCCTGCTGTACCCGCTCCAGCACCCTCCTGGCCCTGGAGAGCTCCTCGCTCAGAAGGCTCAGCTCTGCTTCTTTCAGGGACAGGGCCTGGACAGGACGGGGTATGCTTGTGAGAAAGCTGGGGAGGCTGGGGGGAGGGATGAGGCCCCCCTCGAAGGAGAGGCTGTGGTAGAATGCTGAGTGCAGAGGCTCCCCTGGACACAGCATGTTCATGTTCCTGTCTGTACATCCCTGCCGCTGGAGAGGAGAGGCGGCTCCCACAGAGGCAGCCCTGGGCCCTGGGCCCTTTCACCCTCTGAGCGCCTGCCCTCTGTCTGACATCATGTCACCTCTGTGTCTGCCCTTGGGCCCATCCCTGGGGTATCATCACCTTCCTCTGCCTGTCCAAAATCCTGCCCTTTCCCATGCAGTTTGGGGGCCTTCATGAGCCACCCTCATCCCTCTAGGCAACACCCGCTGCAGTGCAGAGAAGGAAGCTTAAAAGCCTGAAAATGCTCCATCTCCCTGATGGTGTGGGAGGCGCGTGTCAGTGAGACACCCTCAGCCCCAAGGGCGGCACGCTGCTCCATGGGCCAGGCTGTGGAAGCAATGCCTGTCACATTCACACATGAATATTCTCTCTATGCCCAGGCCCATTTGGGGGAGGGCAGCCCAGAGACACGCGTGCACCTGTGTGGAATGACCTCTGTGTGGTGTCACTAACGTCTGTGACATTACTGTAATGGCAACAAAGCTGGAGGCAACCCAGATGTCCATGGAAGGAAGAATAGCCAGCCACAGGAAGACCCAGTCTTGGCAGCTCAGCATGCAGCCCAGAAACAGAAGAACAAAGCGGCCGATACACAGTTGGGAAAGGTCACCGAGATGCTTTGATAATTGAGAAGAGAAAGGCCCAGGAGCCAGCGTGGACTTTCCGTTCCCTTTGTATTAAAAGTGCAGTGTTGGGGAGGTAATGCTGTATATTTCTGTTTGCACGCAATCTTTGGAGGGTGTTGCATAACAAAAGATTTATCAGGTCTTTGTCCTGGGTCCTTGGAGGAAGCTTGTACACACTGGGGGTTTCCCAAAATGAGGACTGTCTACGTTATTCCTGGCGGGCCCCTGGGACCACACGGGAGTTTATGCTAATAAGGTGACTCAGGGTGGACTCCTACTGATTCCTTTTTTTATTTTTTGAGACGGAGTCTTGCTCTGTCGCCCAGGCTGGAGTGCAGTGGCGTGATCTCGGCTCACTGCAAGCTCCGCCTCCCGGGTTCACGCCATTCTCCTGCCTCAGCCTCCTGAGTAGCTGGGACTACAGGCGCCTGCCACCACGCCTGGCTAATTTTGTGTATTTTTAGTAGAGACGGGGTTTCACCGTGGTCTCGATCTCCTGACCTTGTGATCCGCCCACCTTGGCCTCCCAAAGTGCTGGGATTACAGGCGTGAGCCACCGCGCCCGGCCTCCTACTGAATTTCAGGATAGGGGCTGTCTGCTGAAAGACCATTATTAGAGAGTTGAGCCTTTGAGCCAAAGGATGTCAACCCAGCCTCCCAGCAGTCAAAGAAGCGGGCTTCGGTCGCATAACCAATCACTCCACGGATCATGTTACACGGTGAAACCCAGTAAAAACTCTGGACGCCAAAGTGCAGTGGAGCCTCCTGGCTGCTGAGCACACTGGGGTGCAGGAGGGTGCTGGGCTGGCTCCACAGGGAGGGCACAGCAGCCCCTGTCTGTGACGTGCCCACACCTTGCCCGCGTGTCTCCTCTTCTGGCTGGTCTTGAATTCCATATTTGATAATGAAACTCTAAGAGGAACAAGAGGCTTTCCTGAGTTCTGTGAGTCATTCTAGTGAATGGCTGAACCTGAGAGGACCATGGGAACCCCCAAACTTGTAGTCAGGTGGTCAGAAGTGTGGGTGGCCTGGAGACCCCTGGACTTGTGGATGGTGTCTGAGAGAGGGTGTCCTGCTGGGGACCTTGCCCTGTGGGGTCTGTGCTATCTCTGGGTCAGAATTGCATGGGCGTGTTACAGGGGAATCAAAGAGAGAGGACAACTGTTCCCTGAGTGGCCTAGTGAAGGGGAGGGGCAGGAGTGGGGGGCTTTTCATTGAATGGCTTTCTATATTCTAAACCATTTTAAAAATCAATGCTCCCCCTTGCTCCCCTCCCTCGCTCCCTTGAGGCCCTGCTTGTTTTGCTCGGTTGGAGACCTGCTGGCTGTTTATGAATCTGCCCTTACTGGACTATAAGGTCTGCAAGGGTGGGGGCCCTGTCTCTCCCTCCTGTGCCCCTCATTACTGGGCACCACAAGGGAGTATTTGTTAGAATTTTAGGCAAAACTTCACCAAATATGGAAGTGTGGCATTCTCTCGGGTAAGGGCTTCGCTTTGCAAACAGGTGTGGGCAAACCGCCATTCAGACACGGCAGGTAAGAGCATGGAGGGTCCCGGTGAAGGCAGCCCCTCCTGGGCCAGCGGTTCCAGGTCTTTGGCTCCTGCTCCACGTATAATTCCTCTTCTTCATTGTAGAAATAAGATCCCCGACTGGGTCATCACAGGTTCCTCAGGGAAGTGTGGGGAAGTTTCCCGCTAGACCCCCAGCCTCACTGCTCCGCTCAGTTTCTCTGCACAGGCCGCCTAGGATAACAGTCAGCTGGCCGAGCAGAGGTCCCGGGAAAGCTTGCTGTACCGGCAAGGGCTCCACAGGCCAGCCTGTCTGTGCTCTGCCCCTGGGGTGTCCCTTATCGTGGTTCTGCTGCGAGTCCAGGGAAGGGAGGGTACTAGCACACGGTGCCTGTCTGCCCTCTTAGCCTGCACTCCTGTTTTTGTTTTGTTTTGTTTTGTTTTGATACGGAGTCTCACTCTGTCACCCAGGCTGGAATGCAGTGGCATGATCTCTGCTCACTGCAACCTCTGCCTCCTAGGTTCAAGCGATTCTCCTGCCTCAGCCTCCTGAGTAGCTGGGATTATAGACACCCGCCACCACAACCACCTAATTTTTGTCTTTTTTTTTAGTAGAGACGTGGTTTCACCATGTTGACCAGGCTGGTCTTGAACTCCTGACCTCAGATGATCCGCTGGGCTCGGCCTCCCAAAGTGCTAGGATCACAGGCCTGAGCCACCAAGCCTGCACTCCTGTTTGACCGAGGTCCCCTCTCTTGGAGGGCTGTGTGTGCCTCCGGGAAGCTGGGATTAAATAATCACATAAGAACAGGCCACGTTGTCCTGTGGTTGGTCTCAGATGGGAATGAGGGGCTGCGTGGGGGCCTTGATGGGCCATCCACTCCCCAGATGTATTGCTTGCCCTGGAGCCTCTTTTCTCATATGTCCAATGGGAATAATATCACCACGTCCCAAGGGGCTTTGAACTTACCTTTCTCCTCCTTTGCCTGGCTCTCAGCCCCTCTCACATGGACCCTGCCTCAGCCTCTCCCCAGCCTCCTGGCCCCAGACTCTCTTCCACCCAAGTCCTATCATATCACCCTGGCTCAAGAACATCCACTGGCTCCCTGTCACCTGAGGCTGGTGCCCGAGGCCCATCCCGGCTCCACTGCACACCTCTCTCGCTGCTTCCACTCACGTGCAGCCTGGCAGCTGTGCAGAACTTCATGCCATCCCCAGACATCCTGCCAACGTCCACATCCTCTCCACCCAACACTACTATTCCTCCTGTAAGGCCCTCCCTGCCTCCACCTAAGGATGTGGAGTTGTGGGGCGGTTAAGAGCACAGACCTCGGTGTCCAGCAGGTGCACTGCACAGCCCTGTGCGAGGCATTCAATATTTGTGGACCTCAGTTTTCTCACCACTACTATAGGGATAATTAGAGCATGTGCCTCAGAGTGTTGCAAGAATCAAATATTAAATGCAGAGAGTTTGACAATAAATCTTGGCTATTTTGGCTACTGTAACTCCTCCTGCAATTTGTCTTTTTTTTTTTTTGAGGCATCTCTGCATCTTGGCTCACTGCAACCTCACCTCCTGGGTTCCAGTTTTTCTCTTGCCTCAGCCTCCCAAGTAGCTGGGATTACAGGTCCCCACCACCATGCCCGGCTAATTTTTTGTAGTTTTAGTAGAGACAGGGCTTCACTATGTTGGCCAGGCTAGTTTTGAACTCCTGACCTCAAGTGATCCACCCACCTCGGCCTCCCAAAGTGCTGAGATTACAGGTGTGAGCCACAGCACCCGGCTTGTAATTGGTACCAACATCTTATAGTCCTTATCACCCCATGTGACACAATGTGGACGTGTTCATGTGTCCATTCCTTTCACTCCACGGTGAATTCCTCAGGGCGGCATGATATACCGGAACAGCCTAGACTCAGGGTAGCTTTTATTGGGCCAGTGGCTGAGTCTCAACTGCTGCTGGGATGGAAGGATGGCCAGATGTGTGGCTGGTAATTCTGTGCTTGGCTTGGTGTTTGAGTTGGATACACCGATGGATGATTGGATGACTGGCTGGTTGGTGGATCAGGTGGATGGATGGATAGACACATGGATGGATGGCTGGATATGTGGCTGGACAGCTGAGTTTGTGGACAGATGAAAGGATGTTAAGTGGATGGATGGATGGATGGTCAGATGGGTTGTGGATAGCTGTGTGGATGGAAGGTTGGGTGCATGGATAGTTGGATGAATAGTCAAATGAACTGATGAATGATTACATGGATGGTGACATGTGTAGATGGACAGCTAGGAATGTGGATGCATGGCCATATATCTGGGTGGTTAGCTAAATGTGTGGAAAGAAGAATGGATATTCAAGTGAGTGGGTGGATAGTGACAAGTGTGTGGAGGGACATTCACATGCATGGATGGATGGGTGGATAGATAGATGAATGGACAGATGGATAGATGGATGGATGGGTAGGTGAGTGGATGAGTGTATGGATGGATGAACAGGTGGATGGGTGGATGGATGGATGAGCAAAGATGGATAGGGAGGATGGATGGATGGATGAACAGGTGGATGGGTAGATGGATGGATGAGCAGGTGGATGGGTGGATGAATTGGATAAATGGATGGATGGGTGAATGGATGGACAGATGGATGGGTGAATGGGTAGGTGGGTGGATGGGTGGATGGATGGATGGAGGCGTAGGTGGGTGGATGAATGGACAGAGGATGAATGGAGAAGTAGATGGATGGATGGGTAGGTGGGTGGATGGGTGGAAGGATGGATGGATGGGCAAGTGGATGGGTGGACGGAGATGGGTGGATGGATGGATAAATGGATGGATGGGTGAATGGATGGACAGATGGATGGGTGAATGGGTAGGTGGGTGGATGGGTGGATGGATGGATGGAGGCGTAGGTGGGTGGATGAATGGACAGAGGGATGAATGGAGAGATAGATGGATGGATGGGTAGGTGGGTGGATGGGTGGAAGGATGGATGGATGGGCAAGTGGATGGGTGGACGGAGGGGTGAATGAATGGACAGATGGCTGGATGAACAGATAGGTGGGTGAGTGGGTGGGTGGGGGGATGGATGGATGGATGGATGGATGGATGGACAGATGGGTGGGTAGGTGGTTGGACATCTGTCCATCATGACTGCTGTGGAAGAACAAAGCTGAAATTGCAGTGACCTGGAAAGGCTGCATCTGCCTGAGGTGTGGCCATATGCAGCCCTTGTGCTGAGCCAGAGATGACAGGTGCAGTGAGTGTGAGCAACCCCGCTGCCCCCCAGCCCTGCCATCACCTGTTGCATCTTGTGCTCCAGTTGGAGAAGGCTCTCGTCCCGCTCCTGCTTCAGGCTCTGAATTTCCCCCTTCAGAGCCTCCCTCTCGGCTGCACTTTTTGTCACCAGCTCCTTCTCCTGCTCCAGCTGGCATCTGGCTGCCTCCTTCTCCTCTGCCAGGGACAGGCTCAGGGTCTCCTGGACCAAGGTAAAGGGATGGGCTGTGAGGTCTGGCAGGTGAGGCCAGCAGTTGTCTGTGGTCCTGAGTGAGAGCTGGCCCGTGGGATGCCAGGGCTGATGGGCCCCAGGGGCTGTCCAGTCCAGCCAGCTGCACCCCTCTATGTCTTCCCCTCAGAATCACCAGAGCAGGGAGGGCCTCTCTGGGTCTCAGCACCTGTTATCCCACATTGATCTATCAGTTTGTAAACCATTCCTGAGTCTCTGCAGTGCCCCTGCCACGGAGGGGTGTAAAGACACGTCAAACCAGGCCTCCAGAAGCCTGGGACCTGCGGGACGGGGCCCCCTCCAGCCCCCGTCCCTCAGACTGCACCAGACCAGCCAACAGCATGTCCAGCCTCTTCCATGAGGGAGGCCCCCCCCCAAATACCAACCCAAACCCAGTGTGAGGGCTCCACGAGGAAGGCCCTGGATGCCCACGTGAACTATGAAGCGTGAGCAGGTCCTTGCCCAGCCTTCCCTGGCCAGGTGCCTATGTCTCTGAGCTCAGTCTCCCAGGGCCCCCTTCTCCCAAGGGCCTGCCATTCCCTGGGACCTGGTAGCCTTCTAGGAAGCTACTGGTGGGCTCCTGGGAAGCAGACCTTCTCCCTCTGGAGCTGTGCCAGGGCCTCACGGTGAGCTGACGCCTGGCTCTCCAGGGCCCGCTGTGCCTCCCGCTCCTGCTGTGCCACCTGTCGCTGGAGCCGCCCCGCGTCCTGCCGCAGCTTCATCTCCTGGACCTCCCAGTCACTTTGTAGCTGCTCCATTTCCACTGTGGGGTGATGGGTAAGGTGTGCCAGGGCCTGGCATGTGGAGCCCCGAACCCTTTGGGACTTCTTAGGGAGTGACAGCCTTGGTGGCGACCACTGTCCACTCCAGGCTCTGCGAGTGGGCGGCCAGCCCATGGCAGGCTGGGCTGAGCAGGGTCAAGGGTACAGGGCTGCAGCTGGAGGCTACACGCTGACCCTGCGGCCACAACCCAGTTTGGAGCCTCAGGCCGGCACCAGGTGCGGCCTGGGCAGGGTGTTGCTGTTCCTCATGGGCGAGGTGGCCCAATTTGCTTCGTCACATGAGCTCCAGGCTCACGTTCATGCCCCTGTGGGCTCCGGAGAGGGGTGCAGCATGTGTGGGTAGTGAGCTCCATGCCAGGGGCCCCTGCATGGCTGACTTTTGGGGAAGGAGCTGAGGGAGTGCCCTTGGAGCACCTTGCAAGGCTTGCCGAGTGAGTCCCGTGCTCTGGGTCTCCTCCTCCAGCTGCTCCTGCAGCTTCGTGGCCAGCTGTTGGGCCTCGCGGAGGCTGCTCTCCAGGGAGTCCCTCTCCGCCCTGCAAAGGAGCAGCAAACAATGGGCAAGGCATCCATAAGATCCCACGTATAACATGTTCTCTATAGCTTTACACAGGCGTTAATGAGATTTAGCTGAAATGCAAATAAATGGAAGAATGTTGTAGAAATTATGGTGCATCTTGTCTCTGGAGCACCATGTGCTGTTAACAAGGACGAGGAAACTATTTTCTATTCTAATGTCATGAAAAGAGTCCCCCCAAAAAGTCACCCACCCAACTGGACCCCCACATGCAGCGTGATTCCATCATGTGAAAAGCCTGCGAGGTGCATTTGTGCACGGAGATGCCACTGCTCAGAAGACACCTGGAGCACACACCAACGCACAGCAGTGCCCGTTCCTGGGAGGGAGGGGTGATAAAAAACCTCACATTTCTAACAATTAATTCATCAGTGATCCAACCATCAATGGCAAGTTTCATTGTTGCTCTTTGCTGTCCTGTGCTGGGTGTTTATCAGTGAACAAAGCAAGGCACCAAACAACACATACAAACACACTGCAAGGGCTCAGGCAGAGACACCCATATGAACATGCAAATGGTGGGTGCACAACTCCAAACAGATGAGGTCAGGGCGGGCCATGGGCCACGGGGACCCTGGCAACTCTTGACCAGGCCCTGCCTCCATTTCTCTTCCATCTTTCTGGCCACTGCCACCTCCTTCATCAGGGTTAGAGCACATCCCAGCCTTCTGGGGGCTCACCAGAGTTTGCAGAGGGAGGTCCTCTGGGCTCAGGTCAGAACCCCCAGAAACCTCACTCTGCTGCATGCTACTGTGCTCCCCTTCCAGTCCCTCCTCCCGTAAGTGCTCCTCATGGCCCCCATCCCACACTCCCAGGCTTGAGTGCTCTCTTCACCTGGCAGCTCTTCTCCCTTCTGTGTGTAGGAAACCCTCCCTTCAAGTCAGCCTGGAAACCCCTCCTCCCAGAGGCCTGCCTGGTCTCCTGTAAGGGATGTGGCCTCTGCTGCTCGGAAATCAGATGTCTTTGCCTGAAGCTTGGGGACCTGAGCCTGTACCCAGCCTCTCTCTCTCCATGGGGGCCCAGGAGCAACTCCAGGGGCTCCACCATTGAGCCCCTGGACTGGAGGCCTGGCCCCCCACGGGGTGCTCTGAGCAGGGCAGGGCTGCTCGGGGTGTGGGCTGACAGGGACCTTGGTCCATCTTGCTGGCTGACAAGCGGGCCAGGACTCCATGAAGGGAGGGAGCAGGTCCCCACTGCAGAAGCCTTGTCAGGGCCTGAGGATCCGAGAGTGGAGCCCTTCATAAAGCAGACCCGTGGGGAGGCCTAATCAGAAGCAAGGAGCTGCAGCAGGATTTCCCGCACTTAGTGGTCCTCAGTGTTACCTGTGAGTTCATCAAAATGGCAGCATCCACGCTCTCCGGCCGCACTGGGCCAGTCAGATAAACACAGAGTGTGTCGGGCCGACGGGGCTTCAGGTCAAGCCCCTCTGTCACCAGAGGCTCAACTGGCCGTCAGGACCCCTGTTCAGTGGCCTGTGATGCTGGGGCCCGCAGGGCTGCCATGTGCAGGGGGGGTCAGTGGCAGGGCAGAGGTAGGGGCATGAGACAGCTGTCAGGGCAGGACCCAGGCTGCTGAGGCTCTGGCCCAGGCTGTTCTGGGCAGCAGATCTCCACCAGCAGGGGAAGGGACCTCCACCCCTGGTCCTGGGGCCCCCAGGGCCCAGAAAGGAAGCATGGGAAAGGAGCCGAACCCCGCAGCCTCCCTCAGGTTTTCCTTCCTGATTGCCGTGCAAGCTTTCACTTGGAGAAGGGGTTTGTCTGCAAAGAAGCTCAAGGATCCCAGACTCCAAGGGGTTTTCTCCATGCCTCTCAGTCCCAAATTCAGGAAATCTTTTCAGCAAAAATACTGAGCAGCGCCTGAGCAGGGCCCTAAGCAGAGCCGAGAAGGCACAAACCATCCAGCAGGTTTCACCCAGGCCTGCAGGATCCATCCAGATCACCAGGCAGCAGCCTACACACACACCAGCGGTACCTACACACACACACACGAGGCGGCACCTACACACACACCCAGGCGGTACCTGCACACACACACCAGGTGGTACACACACACACACACACACACCCAGGCAGCACCTACACACACACACCAGGCAGCACCTACACACAAACACATCGGGCATTTGTACACACACACATAGGCAGTACCTGCACACACACACCAGGTGGTACCTACACACACACACACACACACAGGAAAAACTTCACACACACACACCCCAGGTGACGCCTACACACACATACACACACACCAGGCAGTACCTACACACACACACACCCCAGGGTGGCACCTACACACCAGGCACCTACACACACACACAGGCGGGTACTACACACACACACACACCAGTGGTACCTACACACACACCAGGCAGTACCTACACACACACAGTTACCTACACACACACACCAGCTCCTCACACACACACACACCAGGCGCTACACACCACCAGGCAGCACCCTGCACTGGCCACCGGGCGGTACCTGCACACACACCAGAGCGGCACCTACACACACACACCAGGCGGTACCTACACACACACACACACACACCAGGCGGTACCTACACACACACACACCAGGCGGTACCTACACACACACGCCAGGTGGTACCTACACACACACACACACACACCAGGTGGCACCTACACACACACACCAGGCAGCACCTACACACACACACACACCAGGCAGCACCTACACACACCAAGTGACACCACACACACACACCAGGCCAGCACCTACACACACACACACACACCAAAACATTCTTTCACACAGGCGCACTACACACATCCTGTTCCTGCCTGCGAGTGCCATCCCAACTGGGAGTTGCCACAGGGGCCTCTGGGCTCACCCGCCCACACCTCTCACCTAACACACACACACACACCAGGCAGCACCTACACACACACACACACCAGGCGGCACCTACACACACACACCGGGCGGCACCTACACACATCCTGTTCCTGCCTGCGAGTGCCCATCCCAACTTCTGGGAGTTGCCCTGAGGGCCTCTGGGCTCACCCGCCCACACTCTCCACCTCGTGTGTCCCTGGGCTGGCCCTGCTCCGGGCTCCAGGGGTGGGTGTGCCACCCAAGCCTGGGATCAAGCCCTGTGACTCCCGGCTCCCAGGATTAGTACAAGGATATCACGCAGCTCAACATGGCCCATGGCCGCCACTCTCAGGCCTTATGGGGAGAAGGGTGCTCTGCGTCTGCTGGAAGGAGGACCCTGGAGTGGCTGCTGGCCATCTTGCCACCTCTCAGAGTGAGCCTGCCTGGAATAAGGTCTCAGAGCCAAGCTGTGCTGAGGGAGGGAGAAGCAGGATTCCAAGGGCACTGTGGGAGTGCCTGAATCCAGCCATCCCTTCACCCTGAACTCCACAGCTCCATGAGCAAGATCTGCCTTCCACTGGTCTCAGCTGTGTTTCTGCACTTGCCACCACCTCTTTCAGGAAGGTGACCCCAGTGCTTTCATTGGGTTGACCTCTTCTAGATGCCCTGCCCCAACCCAAAGGCACTGTGCTTGCCTCTCACTCACAGCCCATTTCATGTGCACACACTCCCTCCCAGGCCTATGCCATGGTGTGCGTGTCCCCATACGCTGCCACACTGCAGACTCTCTGAGGGTAAGGACATGTGGGACATGCCCTGACTGGCAGGCCTTTGCATACCTGAGATCAGCTGCCTCTTCAGCTGCAAGCCGGCCCTGCCTCTCCAAGGCCTCCTGCTTGGCCAGCAGCTGGGCCCGCTCCTCAGACAGAGCATCCTTGTCTTGCAGGGCCTGCTGCAGAGTGTCCATCTGGACCTCCTGGTCCTGCAGGCTCTGAGCCAGCTGCTCCTCCAGGGCCTGTTTCTGGCATGTGACCTAGAGGAGGTGGAAATGGACAGTCAGCAGAGAAAGAGAGTAAGTGGGTGGGTGAGCATGGGCCTCTTGAGGGGAAAAAAGGACTTCAGAAGAAGTGATTTCATGCAGAGTGGCATGGAGGTGAGAGTGGAAGAAGTGGGTGGACCTCAGAAGCACATGGATGTCTTTACAATAGAGGGGGCATCCACTCAGGTACCCCGTTGGGGATGGTACTGAACTGGGCACTCCAAGGTAGGAGCCAACTGTCAATCTAAATGGTACCATTTGTTTGTCCTCCAGTGTCCAGGGGTCAGGAAACACTGCACAGAAATGGCAACAGAAGGGAATGGAAAACTAGACTGCTGCAGACCAACACTTCCACCAAGAATATCATAAAAATCTAGGTAGATATATCACAAGAATATGTAAGAGACCTCAGACAGCTGAAAAGACAGCTGGGACTGAAGCAGCGAAGATCTTGGAGAGAAGAGAGACACAGAGGAATGAGCCCAGCATTTGGTGTCTCCTTTTCCCTTAAGGCATTTGCTGATTTAAAAGTTTGGGCTGAAAAATTGAGATGCCAAGAAGAGCTTCTGGCAGTACCATGGCCTGAGGGGAACAAAAATTAGGGTTCAGGGTTCAGAGCCACCAAAGCGGAGAGGCTCTGATACATATCACAAGACATCAAGTTGTATTCACAGCAGGGCTTGATCCTAGTAGTAGTGGTGAATCAGAAACAGACCATCCTTCATAGACACTGAAGCTCAGGTATGAATCATCCCAGTCACTGATTGGATTACAGGGACCTTCTACCTTCACTGCCTGCCAGGGTCAAAAGTAAATTCTGGCCGAGTGCGGCAACTCCCAGCACTTTGGGAGGTCAAGGCAGGTAGATCACTTGAGGTCACGAGTTCAAGACCAGCCTGGCAACATGGTAAAACCCTATCTCTCCTAAAAATACAAAAATTAGCCGGGCACGATGGCATGCACCTGTAATCCCAGCTATTCAGGAGGCTGAGGCAGGAGAATCGCTTGAACCCAGGAGGCAGAGGTTATGGTGAGCCAAGATCATGCCCCTGCACTCCAGCCTGGGTGACAGAGTGAGACACTCTCTCAAAAACAAACAAACAACAACAACAACAAAAATAAACCCTTTCTGGAAGAAGAATAGCATTGTCAAGATCCTCAAATTATTTCTGTAATTTATTATATATAAGATTGACTATTTAATCAAGATCTGGCCTATCAGGAGACAGGACCACATGACAAAAAAACCACAAATAAGAACAGAAAATAGATACAGATCCTCCCACCCTGGTTATCTAGATATTGGAGTTATCAGACACAAACTTTAAAATAGTTGATTAACATGTTCAAGAAGATGGATAGCAAGATGTAAAGTTTAACAATAGAACTGGATACTAAATATAAAAAATACAGTTTAAAATATAATAACCAAAAAAGTAAGGAAACTAATAGACAACGGCAGATTAGACAGAATAAAAGAAAGGACTAGTAACCTGGAAGAGAGACAAAAGAATGTGTTCAGACTGAATCATAAAGAGAAAGAAGGATGGAAAATACACAAAACAGTGTTATAGACATATGGGACAAGCCAAAAATGCCCATCATATGTGTAATTACAGTCTCAGAAGGAGATGAGAGGACATATTTGAACAGATACAGGCCAAGAATTTTCCAAATCTAGTAAAATACATCCAGCCACAGACTTAAAATGAGCTGTAACCCCCAAAAGAATAAATTGAAAGAAAATGTCACAGATATACAACTTAGTAAAGTTTCTGAATACCAAAGATAAATAATTTTTTTTTAAAAAAAGGGAAAATGACACATAGCCATGAAATGAACAAGACTGACATTTACTTTCCATGCAACAATGAAAGCCAGAAGACAATGGAATGACTTCATTACATTTCTGAAAGAAAATAATGGCTATTTTAGTATTCTATACCCAGTGAAAACATTCTTCAAAAGTAAAAACCAGGACTTTCTACTTCTGATAATGGTGAGGTAGGTTGTTGAGGACTAACCCTCCCACCTAAAGCAACTGGAAAAGTGGCACAACATACAACCCAATAATCTATTTAAAAGCATTAGAGAGACACTAAGGCAGTCAGGTCCCTGGTGTTCAGGCTACAGGGAGAAATATATTAAAGTGAGTCTGAAATTCTACGAATACAACAGGTTTCCCCTTTGGGGTATCTGCCAAGTCCTAAGTGACACAGGGTGTAGAGCCTCAGGATCCAATAATAAAGCTTTAGGCCGGGCTTGGTGGCTTATGCCTGTAATCCCAGCACTTAGGGAGGCTGAGGTGGGCAGATCACCTGAGCTTGGGAGTTTGAGACCAGCCCGGCCAACATGGCGAAACCCCATCTCTACTAAAAATACAAAAATTAGCTAGGGGTGTGCCTGTAATCCTAGCTACTCAGGAGGCTGAGGCAGGAGAATTGCTTGAACCCGGGAGGCGGAAGTTGCAGTGAGCCTAGATCGCCCCATTGCATTCCACCCTGGGTGACAGAGCGAGAGTCTGCTTGGGAGAAAAAAAAAAAAAAGTTTCAGCTAAAAGACTGGGAACATGGCCTAAGATTTCAGCAGGCTTCTGAGATTGAAGCAACATAACTTAGAGTTCAGAGATACCAAAGCAGCCAGGGAATGAAAAGAAGAGCAGATATCAGAAGGGAAGGAAAAGCCTGGAGGTAAACCTGAGATTCTATATTGTGATTTTAAAAAATGGGACTGCTGGCTAAGCGCATAATCCCAGCATTTTGGGAGGCTGAGGCAGGTGGATCACTTGAATCCAGGAGTTTGAGACCAGCCTGGGCAACATGGCAAAACCCCATTTCTACAAAAAACACAAAAATTAGCTGGGCATGGTCACGTGTGCCTGTAGTCCCAGCTACTCGGGAGGCTGATGTGGGAGGATCGCTGGAGCCCAGAAGGTCGAGGCTGCGGTCAGCCATGATCATGCCACGGCACTCCAGCCTGGGCAACAAAGACCCTGTCTCATAAAATAAAATAAATGGTACTGCTTTGAAAAAGTATGTATTTTTTTTAATATATATAATTCAGAAGCAGTAAAGGACCAGGAGACTAAGAATCTGAACAAAAAAATAGCAGTTGAGAGTCTGGGAAGTCAGATAGGACTTTTGAAAGTCTTATAGAGTTGAGAAAATAAAACCTGGAGTTTAGGGCTAACTAAAGAGTAGGAACCCTGGTAAACACCTGAGATTTCCAATTAGGAACATAGGAGAGTTATATTACACCCTGGGGTAAGCCAGAAATAGACGACTCCTCAGAAAACACGGAAGCACAGTTACAAAGCAGCTAAATCCTCAACTGGATAAAGGTGATTTATCCCTATTCTGATTTCCCGAAGTCAAAAGCAAATTCCCTCTGGAAGAAGCTTGTATCATTCAAAGCCTTAAATTATGTCTATGAATTACATCTACAAAAACACAAAGTCTGTCATTCAATAAAAAATTATTAAGCCTAATAAAAAAATTAAGCATACTAGGAGACAAGGCCAAAGTACTGAAAATAAATAAATAAAAGACAATAGAAATAGCTCATTAGGGGATCTAGATGTTAGAGTTATCAGACAAAGACACAAAAAAGTACTGTAATTAATATGTTTAAAAACACACTCAAGAAGGTAAAGAATGTTACCAAATAACTGAAATGTTTGTGAAAAGATGAGTGTGTGTGTGTGTGAATGGTTAAAAATAATCATTTAAAAATAAAAAATATTAGTAAAGTAGTATAAGGTTTATAACAACATATACAGAAATAAAACAGAGCAACAAGAGCGAAAAGGATAGAAGAGATGTCTTAGTAAATTGGTGCTGCTATAACAAAATACCTGAGACTGGGTAATTTATAACGAGCGGAAATGTATTGATTTATCTTCTCACAGTTCTAGAGACTGGGAAGTCCAAAATCAAGGTGCTGGCAGGTTCAATTGTCTATCAAGGACTACTCTTGCCTCCAAGGCTGTGCCTTGATTCTGCATTTTCCAGATGAGAAGAGTGCTGCATCTTCACATGGTGGAAGGCACAAGGGGAAGTGAGACACAAATGTTGCAGGAAGCCCCTTTCATAAAGGCTTTAATCTCACTGATGAGGGTGGAACCCTTATGGCCTAAATCATCTCTTACAGGTCTCACCTCTTGATACTGTCACAATTAGTCATTACGTTTCAACACCTACATTTTGGAGGGGACACATTCGAAACATAGCAAGGGATAAATGGAATATATTGCTGGAAGGATCTTACATTGTTTGTGAAGTAATATAGTATTTGGATATAGGCTGTACATGTCATAATTTTAGGGTAATCACTAAAACTAACAAAAAGAAACACAGCTAAAAACAATCAATAGAGAACATAAAATGGAATACTAAATAAATATGCAGCTAACCCCAAAAAAGGCCAGAAAGGAAGAATGTAAAAATATTTTTAAAATATGAGACAAATAGGCTGGGCGCGGTGGCTCAAGCCTGTAATCCCAGCACTTTGGGAGGCCGAGACGGGCAGATCACGAGGTCAGGAGATCGAGACCATCCTGGCTAACACGGTGAAACCCCGTCTCTACTAAAAACAATACAAAAAACTAGCCGGGCGAGGTGGCGGGCGCCTGTAGTCCCAGCTACTCGGGAGGCTGAGGCAGGAGAATGGTGTAAATCCGGGAGGCGGAGCTTGCAGTGAGCTGAGATCCGGCCACTGCACTCCAGCCTGGGCAACAGAGCGAGACTCCGTCTCAAAAAAAAAAAAAAAAAAAGAGACAGATGGCAAATACTTAGATGTAAATAAAGCATATTAATAGTTACTTAAATGTAAGTGGTCTAATAAACACTCTAATTAAAGATAGAAGTTGTCAGAGTAAATATAAAGGCAAAACCCAAGTATGATTTTGACATACACTTTATTTGTTGATTTCTTAATTTTTCTATTTCAATAGGTTTTTGGGTAACAGGTGGTGTTTGGTTACATGAATAAGTTCT